GCTGGGCTCCAGGAGTCAGGCTGGTGGAATTTTTGGCTCAGCCCTGAAGTCCCCCCTTGACTGTGACCCGTGGTCCAAAATCACTTCCCCAGCACTGAGCGTTTGGTGAGTGCTGGCTCCAAACGCACATACTTTCGTTCCCTCAATTATTCGCAGCCTTGCTTGGACACTGAAATCTCAAGGCCCCAAAGAGCTGACTCAGTGTCCCATCCCACCCACGGCTCTCTCCTTCTGTTTCCTCTTTGGCTGGTGGTTCCAGGCTCCATGGTGCCCGTGGGGCTTTAAATTGGGCAAGGGAGGCCAGGGACTCCGTCCTGCCTAGCAACCGTTTTACTTTCTTTTAAAGCTCTCAGGCTATGAAGATAAAGTCCTCCCTCATCGTAAGTTTATGTGATTCTGCTGGTTAGTTCGCCATCCATGCACCAACTTTCAAAGTCTGTGCCAAACGCTGAATGAATGAGAAATGCCTCTGCCTGTGAAGTGCTTAACTTCCGAGAGATGAACGCCCACTGCGGAACCTCTCAGGCAGCACCCTTTGCTGGCTGTGTTTGGCTTTCCGATGGGTGAACAAGCTCGTGCAGATGGTTCTGCCCCTCACGGTCGGTCCCTGGCCGAGAGGGGGCCCAGGGCTCGGGCAGGACTTTTCCTTGGCCGTCAGTCCATGGTGACCATCCATGAACGTATCATTTTAAAACTGAGAAGATGACTCAAAGTCCGGCTCAAAGACAGTGATCCCATGTTGGCTGTTGAAACAAGCGTAATGGGGCCTCTGAGTGTCAGATGATTGAAGACGGCTTATTCTGATATATTTCCTGTTAATTTCAGCTTTTTTTTGTTATTGATGATGATGTTTTCTATGTTATCCTTAGAACCACCACACTTTTTCAGCCTCGCCATCCTGGGGGCTTTATTAGTATTTGGAGGTTTGACTGAGATTTGAAGGGGATAATGTATTCTAGTGTTGGATTTCAATCATGAACTTTGTAGGTATTTTAGGAGGAAGGGAAATAATTGGATATTATTTTTAAAAAACTCTTCTATTCCCATGTTTTATGGATTTAAAAAAAAATCTCCTTCTGTTGTTCTCTCCTTCTGTAGATAATGTATGATACAAAACTTGTAAGTTGTTCCATGTATGAAACTGTATTTCATGCCTAATTTAGAATGGCTAATTTTGATACCAAGATCATTCTCCATGGCTGTATTCTTTCTTCTTTATAGCATGCTATTTTTTCTTCTTAAATTCTGAATTTCCTCATTTGAAGACAGAATGATAGTCACTTCCATGATTGGTGTACAAGGTTTTTAAATTAGTGTGGTGGACTGCCCTGATGTTCAGGAGTGAAGCTGTTGAAGGCCGTTGTCTCAGATCGTTTTGCGTAGGATGGTACACGCTCCTCCGTCTCGTCCTCCACTCTGAGTTCTCGCTGCCGTGGTAACCGTGACAGTGGGGCCCACACGGGCCCCCAGGTCTTCTCGGTCCCTGCCTCCAGCACATCACGGGAAGGAGATGACTGAGGGGTCCTGCCTCTTGCTCATTTCCACTGTGCACATTTTCAGCCTTGAGCCCCAGCGCACGACGGCTCACCGCTGCCGAGTCTGGCTTCGAAAGGACTGGCAGGAAGAAGCTTTGCCTCACCTGCGCAGCTCTCTGCTTTCCCTGTGACCCTCATGGAGACTTGCTGAAAGCTTGGAGGAACAGTTGGGTCGGCCTGCAGCGTGTGCTGTGTCCCGGCTAATTGCATAATTGTATAATCGTTCGAATTCTTATCCTGCCTGTTTGCTCTGCCCTGGTGCCCAGGATAACCTGCGGGATACTAGATTATTTGTGTCTGAACAAAAGATTAGGAAACTTAAAAAAAAAATGTATGTGCGAGATGGCAAGAGCCGTGTCCGCGGAGGAGTCACTTCCTCTTTAGCTACTTAACTCCAAAACTCCGGGGATCTGGGGCTTGCTCCAGTGTTCCGGTGACATTTGGGAAAGAATGCGTTCTGCGGCGAAGGCCAGGACTTGGGAATTCAGATTTCTGAATTCTGTTCCCAGCAGCACACCGGGGTCAGCCAGTGACATGTGACACGTCAGTAAAACATCGGGTCCTAATTTCCTTATCTGTGAAATGGACATAAAAGGGGCTGACTTGCTGTGGGCGAGCTATTTAATATTTGCTGGGAACCAGCTTGCTCTAGTGACCTAGAAAAAACAGGGACCGAGGTAGAGGCTGACCTCATTTCTATTTTTGGCTTTGGTGCTGACTCAGTGAGAAACTTGCAGGAATCAGCTAATCTGGCGCCGGGCCTCCAGGCCTTCCACGATGAAAACGAGAATTATAAAATCTTATCTGAGCTGGGCCTCCTGGTGATGCTGCCAGTGTTAACTGAGTACTAAAAATATGCCACGCCGCACGTTAGGAAGCTTTTCTGCCGACGTGCCTTTGACATCTCCTTCCCATCACATGCCAGGCTATTTGAGGACGCTCCATTCAGCGTTCGTTTACTTTTTAGCCAGCTATTTGGAGTTCAGTTCTATTTGGGGCCGAATCTTCCCATATCTGAATCTAGGGAGGAGGTTGATCTGATGTCAGCGTGCCGTCCATCTCCAGCTCCGGGAATTTGGGCATTCGCGCCTGCTGTCGTTTTGGGTGAAGAGCGAGTGCCTTTAAGGAGCTTCACCCTTGGACACGTCTCAGCCTGAGAATGTTTTCCTTTCCCAGGGAGGCCGAGCCGGCGCTGTGTCCAGGCCTCTGCAGGGCCGGGCGTGTTTGCATCTGCTTTTCCTGGTTGGTCCCCGGATGCAGCTGCTCTAGGCGGCTGCGCCAAACTGCAGAGCTTGGCTTTCTCGCCCCCGCTTAGTCCTGTTTGATGGGATCCTCTGGAGTTAGAAATCACGGGCTTCTTCCCCATTTATTCACACACTGTTTCCAGCCTCCTGCCAACGACACCCACAATCAGTGGAGACCCAGTGGATGGAGACTTCTGTTCAGAACCACATTTCTACTTTTCAGAAAAATGCTGGGACTTCCCTGGTGGTCTAGTGGCTAAGAATCTGCCTGCCAGTGCAGGGGACGCGGGTTCGATCTCTGGCCCAGAACAGCCCGCATGCCGTGGGGCAGCCAAGCACACTGCCATGCTGAAGCCCAGGCACTCTAGAGCCCGCCCTCTACCACAGGAGAAGCCGCCGCAGTCAGAACCCTGGGCTGCACAACTGGGGAGCAGCCCCCGCTCGCCGCAGCTGAAGAGAGCCTGCGTGCGCAGCGGCAGAGGCTCCGTGCAGCCAGAAGTAATCATGAACATGTTTTTAAAAATGCACAGGCACATAATTCACCTGCAAGTTCTGGGACTTGTAAGTTCTGAGCAGTTTGGAAAGAAGGATGATTTTGGGAGTTTCTGTTCTGCGTTCTTTCATTTATGCAACATTGGAAATCTTCAAGTGGCTCTTGGTAATGTGCTATTTGGGGAGGGTGAATGTTTGTTTACCCCCAGGTGGCTTCCCAGGTGGCGCTAGTAGTAACGAACCCTTCTGCTCATGCAGGAGGCCTAAGAGATGCGGGTTGCATCCCTGGGTGGGAAAGATCCCCTGGAGGAGGGCATGGCAACCCACTCCAGGATTCTTGCCTGGAGAATCCCAGAGGAGCCTGGCGGACTACAGTCCATGGGGTCACAAAGAGTCAGACTCGACTGAAGTGACTCAGCATGTGCACAAATGTTTGTTCTGTATGGCTTGTCAGTTTTTTTTTTTCCCCTTTGAACTAACATAACTATGGGGGAAGTAAGGAATCCTGTCTATAGTCTCTGACGTGCCTTCTATTTTTAAAAATTGGCTAAAGATGCTTACTCAATTTGATCATGAGGTTGCATTGAAGTCCATATGCATGCCAATCGCTGTCATGTCTGACTCTTTGCAACCCCATGGACTGGAGCCCACCAGGCTCCTCTGTCTGTGAGATTCTCCAGGCAAGAATACTGGAGTGGGTTGCCTTTCCCTTCTCCAGGGGATCTTCCCGACCCAGGGATCAAACTCATGTCTCCTGCATTGGGAAATAGATTCTTTACCACTGTGCCACCTGGGTATGAAAAAGTCCATATCCTGTGAAGAAAATAGGTTTTCTTGGATTCTTGTCCCCATTTTGGGCTATTTCCCATGGACAGTCTAAGTGTGGCTGTTTTCTGCAAATATCCTTGATCAGGCCACTGCGTTGTTGATGCCTGTACAGGAAACCACGTTCCCAGGATCCAACGGTAGAACCTCCTTTCTCCACATTCTTGTCCTGCTTGTATTTCTTCCTGTTAGTTCCGTCCTGCCTGAATTACCTTCTTCCATCTCTTCATGCATTAATTTTGTTTTCATCTTTCAAGGGCCATGTCAAGGCCCAACATCCCAGTCTTTCTGAATCGCAGCCACATGTATGCACCAAATAGAATTCATTATTAAAAAAAATAGGTTGAATTTCTTTTTTTTCCATGTGGGCAGAGACTAATTCAACCTTGATTCTACCTTTGCACAAAGCCAGTTTTTCGAGAGAGGCTCAGGGAGGCCCGTCATCAGACTGTTGATGGCACAGAGAAGTCTCAGCATCTGATGCTGAAACTCCGACCATGAGCTTTGCCTCCACAGCCCTGAAGGGAAGCCTTGATGGAGTTTCCTCTCAGAATCTAAGTGCTGTGTCTGTCAACACAGCGTCACTCATCAAAGGAGGTTATAAACAATTCAGTGAAAAAACAAAAACCCAACTCTCCGTTGTTTTATTTGGTCAGCAAGTTACTTAGCATTTGGAGTATAGAATATAGAAAGCGTTGGGCCAGGGGTCATCTGTGGCCATTCCTGCCCTCAAAGGAGCTTAAAGACAGCAGAGACGTGCCCGACGTGGGTCGCAGCCGGCAGCATCTTTTCTGACGCTCTGGCGGGCGGGATGCGGGGTGATGCTGACCGAGGCCCATTTCTGCTCTTTCCTCTGCTCCCTCCGACCCGCCCTCCATCTCACTGGCTCCCTCCTCCTCCGCAGGGAGAAAGAGGCCTCCCGGGGTTACAAGGGGTCATCGGGTTTCCAGGAATGCAAGGACCCGAGGGGCCGCAGGGGCCACCAGGACAAAAGGTGAGCTTGGCCGTCACGGGCGCGGGGGCTGGGGGGTGGGCCCGAGGTCGTCTGGTCATTGTGTTGGTTCTGTTCCTTCCAGGGTGACACCGGCGAGCCCGGACTGCCCGGCACTAAAGGGACCAGGGTGAGTTCAGGGGCCGCTGGGCGCCTGTGGGCGGGCTCCGGTTCAGCGGTGCTTCCGGGGGAGGGGGAGGGACCCCTCGCCCCGCCTGCCTCCAGACCGTCCGGGGCGTCTCTCCCGTCCCCCTGCTCTGGGCCCCTCCGTCCGCCTCTGTCCTCGGCGTGGACAGAGGTTGCCCTGGGAGCCGGGCCCCAGGGTGACGGGCCCGCGTCCCCCTCCTCCAGGCCTGCCCCTCGTCGGGCTCACTTCCTGTCCTTTCGACACCTGGCTTCTCCCCGCGCTCCTTCCTCAGGGGTTCCCGTGGGTGGATTTCACTGGGGGCGGGGATGACCCGTCTCCAGGTCTTCATCAGAGATGCCTTCGGTCAGCGTGGAAAGCGGGGACGTGTTCAGATCCACGCTCCGTCTTCCTTCACGCTCTGCTGTCTGCTATGCCCGCTCCTGGCATGTGCGAGCAGGGAGCTCTTTGAAAAATCTTTGAAAAATAGGAAGATGCTGTAAAATGTAAACATCTTAATTGTTTATTGTTACTTCGTGGAAGGGGAAGTGTGCCCAGCCTTGCTGGATCCTCCTTGGGGCAGAAGAGAGCGGATAACATTGTAACTGTCTGCAGTGGAGATCTGGATTTCAGCTAGGAAGAGCTCTGACTTTCTTCCCTCAGGGAACTGATTTATGCCTACCCACTTCTTCCCAACTGTCTGAGATTTTGCTGTAAATTCTCTCTCTCTCTATCTGCCTGTCTATCCACCCACCCATCTCTCTGTCTGTACAACCTATCTTTCATCTCCTAGAAATTACAAAGAATGAAACGAGGGCAGAGTTATCTTGTGGGTGTGCAGCCTTGATTTTAGGAGTAATTAATCACCAAGGTTTGATGACGAAGAGCTGCTACTGAAACTCCAGGTCATCTCCAGCCCACCTGTGGGCTGGGTCCTTGGACGCCTGTCTGTCTGCTCAGGGTCGATGTTCCAAATGCCAGCAGTGAGGGTCTGACATCCTTATCCAGGAGGGTGCGGTGGGAGAAAATGGGGTTCTCCTGCACCCAATGAACACCTTTTCATTTCCATCTCTACAGGGACCCTTGGGAGTGCCTGGCTACCCTGGAAACCCGGGACTTCCTGTATGTATATGAAAGGCTTCTGGTTCCTTTATGAGATGTTTGATGAGTGTTACAGTAGCACCGATGATTTCCTAACTCGTCTACTCGTTCATTTTGTTAATTGCAGGGTATTCCTGGCCAGGATGGCCCTCCGGGTCCCCCAGGTATTCCAGGATGCAACGGGACAAAGGTAAATTTAGAGCTGGGCCCTCCCGGCGGGGGGCACGTTTGTCTAACTTTGCACGTGGGGCAGTTGGGCAGAGTGTCCTGTGAACGCAGGTTTAGTTGCCACGGTTGGGAAGTGACTTGTGTTACATCTTTCTTTGGTAAGGAAGCAGTTTTCCCACGTGTAGTGTTCAGGAAAGACCTCACTAAGCCATTCTATTTTGTAGACTTATTCTAAAGTTGCTTTCACCAGGAAATCTCACCTCTAGTCTATTACCAAAGCAAATAAGAACATGCTAGTGTTAATTCTTGTCCCCGTTAAGTGTGTCCTCAAATATATTTCTTCCAACACGAGGCAGCACCGAGCAATGCAGCTCATAGCAATTTTTAGACAATGGCTTCCAACAGCACACGTAGCGTCCCTGAAGGGCAGGACGGGGAAACTGATGGGGCCTCTGGGTGACGTCCTGTCGCCCTGGCGGCCCTCGAGAGCGACTTTCTCTGTCCCCAGGGTGAGAGAGGGCCCGTGGGGCCTCCCGGTTTGCCTGGATTTGCCGGAAATCCCGTGAGTATTGGGTTGTTTGATAAGGGTGTGATCACTCCTCTCTTCTCATTCAGTTGCCTTTCGCTTTCCTTCCCCCTGCCCATATCTTAATGTTAAGGTTCTTTTGAGGAAAACAAAACTAATGCCAACGTTTTCTTTTCTAGGGACCACCAGGGTTACCGGGAATGAAGGTACATTGTTTTATTTTATTGGATTCATTCCAGGCGTATGTGTAAAATAGATGCCACAAGAAACAAACTTTAAATCACTTTGGTTGACCGGTTGCCTGTTAACCTGTTTGCTAAACTCTGCTCCATTAAAAGAGTACTGAAGTCCTGCACACAGACTTAAATTTTAGAGTCTAAATCTTCAACCCCAGGTCCATTTCTTCATAGGAAATAAGCGGTGATGGGAAGCATAGTGTGAGGGGGAGATGTAACAGACGTGGGTCCCTGAAGCTCCTTGTCCAGAGCTCTGGGTGGTGCTGTGAGCAGGTCTCCTCAGAGAAACACAGCCAGTGGGGTGTGCGAGGGGATGCTTGTGCAATGTGTGTGCACCATATGTATACAGCACATGCATATGAGGATGGGTGGAGGGAGGGAGGGAGAATTAAAATACATGTATGATATTGTAAAATGTTTTATATATTGTGTAATACAGTGTACATTGTACACATTGTAATACACATTGTACACATTGTAATACAGTGTACATTGTCCTCTAATATTTACTTATTATTCTAATATTTAGATTACATATTAATCTAGTTCTATGTATTTTGATATATAATTGCAATATGTTGAGATAAAGTAGGTTCCTTATTTTGGGGAGGTGCGTGGCTGAGGGTCGCAAGTCCACAGTCTGAGTGGCAGGGATGCAGGCTGGAGACCCAGGGAAGAGCATGGGTCCGGTTTTGGAGGCAGTCTCCCTTCTTCCTGGGAGTCAGTCTTTCTTCCTCTTAAGGTCTCAACCCCTGGGGTGGGTGGCCCCCAGCCCCTCCTCCTCCAGCGTGGAAGGTTATCTGCTTTATTACTTTAGTCCTTCACACCTGTGGATGTAAATGTCCACCTTGTCTGAAAAGGACCTCCCCGTCGACCTTAGCCTGCTGTTTGCCCGAGTCTCTGGGCGCTGGGGCCAGGCCGCATTGACACTAAAACGCATTTCCCTGCTTTCCTGAACGTGGCCACACTGGGTCTTGTCCGGAAAGATGACCCTTCTATTGCGAGAGTGGCCGGTGGGCACAGCATTTCCACCAGCGCTGGGCCCCTGTCTAGACCCCCTCCTGCCCGGGGTCCGTTACGGGAGCACCCCACATCCTTCCATTCAGTGGTCCACACGCTCTGTCCTCATGCTGGTCATGGAGATGAGTGACCAGGGGAGCCGGCCAGTCGGTTTATCCCCATCATGGGCGGAGGCTGAACCCCAGACCTGGGCTAGTCCCACAGCGGCGGTGTGTGCCCCCTCCTCCACGGGTGTTCAGTATCTTTCCATAAACATCAGTGTTTGTGACTCTCTTGTCTTCCATCCCCTAGGGAGATCCAGGTGAGATTCTGGGCTATATACCAGGGACCCTGCTGGTAGGCGAAAGAGGCTTTCCTGGACAGACGGGAGCACCTGTGAGTACCGGCTGAATGATTCCAAGCACCAGCTGAGTCTCCGCCTGGGTTGCGTCTTAATTCCTCTCTTTCTCGGTGATTTACAGGGCTCACCAGGTCTGCCAGGACTTCAAGGCCCCGTCGGCCCCCCGGGATTCACTGGGCCACCAGTAAGTCTGGGAGCGGGGAGTCTGTCTCTGAGGCTGTCATTCAGAGAACAGCCGTGTGGAGGTGTGGAGACTCATAAAATGGCATGAACGCTTTGGCCTGGATGGGAGGGAGCTTGGGGCAGAGGGGACATGTATATGTGCGACTGAGTCCCTTTGCTGTCCACTGGAAACTCTCACAATGTTGCTAATCGGCCGTGCTCCAAGATAAAATTAAAAGCTGGACAAGAAAACTTTACACAGTGGTGAGCCCTTTCAATTCGGATTCAAGAATGAATTTCTATTTTTTTAAAAATTTACCTATTTTTAAAATTGAAGGATAATTGCTTTACAGAATGTTGTTGCTCTCTATTTAGTGGAGTGTGGTTGACTTACAATGATGTGCTGGTTTCAGCACATCACATGCAGCATAGAGAATCAGTTGTACATGTAGCCCCTTGTTTTTAGAGTCTTCCTACGCAGGTCATTAGAGTGCTGAGTGGAGCTCAGCGCACCGCAGTGGGCTCTTATCAGTTTCTCTTTGAGCTTCTGTCTTAAGGGGGTGTTATTGGTGTTTATGGTCCACGCGCCCCCAGAGCCGTGGGGAAAGGGTTATAAAGAGATGTCACATGTCACAGGCCGAGACACCCCCCGGGCGACACGTGAATTACTTGTGGGGCTGCGAGGATGCCGGTGCGTCCCGTGAGTGGGGGATGCAGAGACGGACAAGCAGGCTCTGCCCTGCACCTTCGCTCGTGGGAACACAGCCCCATCCAGGAACCTGCTCTCCTGGGGGCTGTGAAGAAGCTGCGCTCTGTTCATGGTGGGGATTGGAAGCTGAGCTTCCAGGAGGCTCTGCTCTGCTCTCAGCCTCCTTCGCTGCTGCTGATTCTCGACAGGAGGGCAGCATCAGCTCCTCCTAGTCACACGGTCTGGGCGCGAGAGAGAGGTCATGGTAACGGTGCTTACTTGGGAGTGCCCCGCTCACTAGGAATGGGTGATGTGAGAACGCCATCCTCACCTGAGCCTGCCTGAGAGTCCTGGAGAGATGCTTCAGGCTTCTCTTTTAAATTGGCTCCTTCTTTAGGGGTCAGATGTGGCAATTCTTCTATCCATTCTTGCAGATGTAATGTCTTTTATGTTCTTGTAAATAAACGGACTCGATTTCGGGAGGAAAGAATGACTAGCTTTTCCTTTTTCATGATTATGAAAAGCCTTCTGAAGTTCTGTTGCAAACGCGGGAAGGTTTGGGACTTCATACAGTCTACCCGCTTGAAGAATTCACTGAGCTTTTGAAGGTCAACCACAGTTTCCAAAGGGGACCAACATGGTTTCCACATTGGACTCACTAAGTTTTGCTGGGGATTTGGTGGTGGGTTCATCCACGGTCTGATTGCTCAGTGCATGCTCAGATCTGTGGGTTCCACAGGGAGCCCTTGGGATTTTGAGAGGTTTGCATCCCTGTTAGTAATTATCTTGGACTAATTTCTGGTTGCTCCCAAAGGTTAGCAGTTCTGTAGCACAGGAAAAACACGTGACAGCTAACAAGCTGTCACATTAACCATGGCATCTGAAGATAACTTTGGTGCAAAAAAGCACGCCAGGGTTGTGAACCACATTTAATTAAAATGCTCTGTCTTCCAGGGTCCTCCAGGCCCTCCTGGCCCTCCAGGTGAAAAGGTAAAGATTGTTTTCCATTTGTCTTTCTTTGGTGTTAGTGTGAGGCTGTCGTGACATTGCTGTAACTCATTCTCTACGTCTCTGTAAAGTGTTTTGGGAAATTATAAGTTTTATATCTATCTCTACATTTAACATGTCTGTTCACCTATCCATCAATCCATCAATCTAACTTCTCTGTCAACGAATCCACTCATCTATTGATCTGTCAATTATTGATCTATTGATCTTTCCTCCTATCCATCTGTTAGTCATGGAATCTTGATCTTTTCCTTAGTTTTCTAAAGTCAGAATTTAAAAATCTTCAATTTTTAAAAATGGTTTCTATGGGGTTCTTTTCAGTAATACTTTAGAAAAGCTTTTAATAGACATTGAATACAACATGATCACAGCTTTCTTGAACATATCAATATTATGTCTTTATGGGACGAAGCTATTGCTTTAAACGTACGATCTTGCTGCATTTCATGTCATATCTGTTAGATGATTTTGAACAAAGTAGACAGTGCTAATAACGGAAGCCTGTCTTTTCATCAACAGGGGCAAATGGGCTTGAGCTTTCAAGGGCCAAAAGGTGAAAAGGTGAGTGCTCTTTGCTCTGGGGCGTTATCACGGCCACAGTCACAGGTCTAAGCAGGATAAGGCTTCCGCCTCTGGGACCTTTGATGGCCGCAGTCACCCTGCTCTGAACGTTCTGCGTATGTTAGTGTTTTCCTGGAGATCGCGGCTGGAATGCGCTGAGATGACTTCGTGTGGGGTCTGACCCACAGGTACAGCTTTAGCGAGGCCACTAATCCTCCTGTCTGTTGACAGCGGTCGATCACAATGTCCTCAGGCAGTGACAAAGCCCGAGCTGGGCTTCACCCTCAAAGTGTCAAACGTAGGACATGGCTGTTAGCGGCACAGCCACATTGAATGCTCCAGGATGAGGCCACTGTGCCCGAGTCGGGAGGGAAAGGGCCTGGGAGGCCAGGAGGCCCAGCCTGGCACGGGCAGCCTCATCCTGGCCAGAGCGAGGCCGGCCCCGGGCCCCTGATGAAACTTCGCCTGGACCCGGCCGGTGAAACGCGCTCTGAGCGCGGGGGGCTGGGATTGTGGCAGCGCGTGGTTCCCAAGCCAGTGCTGACGATGGCCTCGTGGAGTGGGCGGCCGTGGGCCTCCTCTTCTCACCCCAGGTTTCCACCCCATCTTTTCGTAAACCTCAGAGGGAAGGGATTCGCGGCGGACGTGGTGGAGGTCTTTGGGCCTCGGTCGCTGCGTGGTGCTGAGATTTCAGTACTTCCCGCTTCCAGCAGCGGGGCCTCCAGGAAGGAATCCCTGACGCTTCTCTCCATGTTGGTTTACACGAAGGGAGCTTTCCCTGTAGGCACCGCGAGGCAGCCGGGGTCCTTTCCTCCACGCCATCAAATGTGGCAGGCCAGCTGACGTGTGCCCGTGTGTATTACACGTGCTGTTTGTCGTGATGCGAGGTCTGTGCATGTGTGCACACATCCCTGTGTCCTCCAGGCGTTCAAGTTCCGTCGTTACAGGGTGGCGGCTGCCCTGACCACGGGGCGGGACAGCCTTCTCCTGGCTTTCTATCCTTGGTGGGCCGTGTTCCCTCGGAAAGTTCATTTTCTGCTGAGGCAAGGACAGGCTGCAACAGAACACAGTCACATGTGTTAAACAGTTCTATTCTTGGTGTCTCCCCCTTCGGCCTTTCTCCTGCCGGTATAATTATTTTTATGCCCAATTAACCCCCAATTTTTGCCTCATCAGGGTGATCAAGGGGTGAGCGGGCCCCCAGGATTACCAGGACAGGCTCAAGTCATCACGAAAGGAGACACAGCCATGCGGGGCGAGAAGGTAGGGGCGGACTCTGTCCAGTGAGCGCTGCCTTCCTAATCCTGAACCGTTTCGAAGGGATAAAGACAGGCTGGGTCAGAGTTTGGTTTCTCTGGTTCTGTTCACCCTGACCTGGAAGACAGGGGTGTGGACTCCCCATCGTCTGAGAAGTGAGCCTCTTGAGAGCAGGGACAGCTGCTCCGGGTTGCAGCCAGACCGGCTTGAGGCCGACCTCCCATGTGAGGGTCACGTGGCGGGGGCGGCCGGGGCTGCAGGGGGAGCCAGCTGAGGATGGGGGAGGTTCGGGTCCAGGCTCGTGGACCAGGTGTGCTCACTATGCCGTCCTTACGTCCATCACCCAGTCACTGGCAGGAAGTGAATGCTCCAGACCAGTGTGAATTTCTTGGTTACTGGAACAGGAAAAGCTGTGTTTTTCCTTGTACCAGTACTCATCTTTTCTTTTATAACTTATTTTAGGGTCAAAAAGGTGAACCTGGATTTCAGGTAAGCACTAAAGTCTTATTTATCATTATTATTTTGTGTGAAAGACCATCATGTATTGGATTTAGGTTACAAGCTTATTTCACCTTCTTTGTAACATTTACTTAATTTAGTAGTTTATTTAAATGTACGAACGAATCTCACCCTTTCTGTTTTTTTTCTGTTAAGGGGATGCCAGGCATTGGAGAGAAAGGAGAACCTGGAAAACCAGGGCCCCGCGTAAGTGCTTCTGAAGTCCTCTCCTTCCTGGTGTGAAATCGTTTCTCCCCCATTCCCAGGATCGCAGGGTCACAGGAGCATAGACTCCAAGGGCCCTGCAGGGGGCTTTCTGAAGCCCTGGGAGCAGGAGTAAGGAGGGAGTCAGCATTAGAGGGGGTCTCCCCGCTGACGCGGGGGTGGAGAGGCCACCGGCCATGCAGGAGACACGGCTTCCATCCCCGGGTCGGGAGATCCCCGGAGGAGGCAGCAGCAACCCGCTCCAGTGTTCCTGCCTGGAGACTCCCATGGACGGAGCTGAGGCTTATTCAGAGGACTGCCCCCTCTCCCGCCAAGACAGCACATCCGCTCCATCACCCCATCTCGACTGGCCCCTCACCAAAAGCCACCTGTCCACCTGCTCAGAGCATCTGGGTGCCCAGTGCTCAGACGCTTCCCACGCCCCGAGTCCGGTGACAGGAGACCCACCTCCTCCAACAGCTGAGAGAGTTCAGCTTCTTCCCTGAAATGACGCATGGAAACCTCTGTGAAGGTGAAGCAGCGGTGTATCAGCTGCCAAACACCCGCTCGCCAATCGGAAAACTTCCCTGGTGTCAGCTCTGCCGCTGGGTGTCATGATGTCACAGGAGACTTGGAGAGAGTCACCCTCCAGTTGTTAAACATTGCTGAGTCTTCTATTGTCGTAGCCCTTTCGGCTCATAGTGATTTAATGTATCTTCCCTGACTTATTACTGTAGCGTGGCCAGCCCACCCAGAGGATCCATACAGTGTAATAACTTGTATTTGATTCAAACCCGTGGTGTTAGAGCATAGGTATCACTGTTATTTGTGCACTACTAATATTTAAATTGTTTTTGTACAGGGAAAACCAGGAAAAGATGGTGAAAAAGGAGAAAAAGGGAGTCCAGTGAGTATTTCTCCAAGCTTTTTAAAAAGCAAGCTGTTGCTCTTACTCACTTATAACTGTTGTTGCTTTCTGTCCCATTCTAGGGGTTTCCGGGCGATTCGGGATACCCAGGACAGCCAGGCCGAGAGGGTTTAAAGGTGAATGGTGACCCTACTTTCTTTTTGTTTTTTGCCTGTATTTTGTTCAACCTAAAAGTTTTTCCTAGAATAAAGGACCATGCACTCAAAGAATAGAAATTATGTATGTTCCATGTGAGGAAAAGCATAACTCAGTGGTTCTATTTGTGTGCATATGTTTTTAAAGAAAAAAATATAAAATGTTCCACTCATTCAAGTTTTTAATGTGGTTTTTTTGGGAGTAGATTAATTTTCCCCAACTATGAAACAAAGAAAATGCAGGAAGATATAGAAAAGAAAACTTGTGTAATTTTTCTATGATTTGCTCAGAAATGGTCAGAATTCATAATTATCCCATGTATGCACATATACATGAGCTTTTAAAAAATGGGACTGCATGATTTAGCTGACTTTTCCCCTTGATGACGTAGTGAGGATATATTCCAGCATTGTAAATGTGGTTATACATCAACACTTGGGATGCTCATGCCTTTTTCTGCATGATATTTGGATCTTTTCCATATTTTTCTGATTTTAAGTATTTTTATCCACTTGTCTGATCATTTCCCACCATAAATTCCTAAAATGTATAATTTTGGAGTTAATGTTTAGACCCATTTCTGGGGAAGCTTTTGCCACATGTGATAAAATTGCCCTCAGAAGAAAGAATGTTTCATCAGCCGGGGACCCTTCCATCTGACATCTGTTTGTTATTGGGCTTAAACACTTCCCAATCTGATACTTGGAAAAAACTGTGGTTCTATTTATTTATTTATTTTTGTGTGGGTTTATTTTTCTCTTTGAATCATGAGACTAAGTAATGTGGATCTCCACTAAAATAAGAAATGGATTGAAAATATTCATCTCTAACAGTAGGGAGAGAACCTCGGGGTGTGCTTAGCAAAGCCCGTGACAAAGGGAGAAGTCTTCCTCTAAGGCTGTAACTTTATAAGAAAGGCAATTCTTGTAGGCTGTAAAAGGTAAATTTGTTTAGAATATATTAGCTGAGAGTTTTTTAAAGTCCCATAGATATATCTAAAATCTCTTCTTGTATTCAAATAAGAAAACTCAAAGCATGCTACTTCTGGTTTAACACAAGTTTAAAGCCTTAGCTTAGAAGGAAAAAAAATGAAAAAAAAAAAAAGTAAGTGAAAAATATGCTTTCATGAAATACCGTGCATATCTTAGGACTGTTAAAAGTATTATTGTAATTCTTACATAAGAACATTAGATAGAAAAGGATTTAGTTCTTGAGTTTTTCATCTAATATATGTTCAATTAAGCCTCAGAGTGATAAGAATTTATCCACCCGATGTTTTCAAGTCATGCTGGATCTTAAGAGGAAAGGAAAAACACAAGTATCCTTTTATTATGACTTCCAATGCAGGTTTAGACAGTCTTACACCTAAAATCCTCAACTAAAATGATTTCTTTAAGAAAATACACTTAGCCACCCTAAGCTTTCATATCATTTTATTTCACTTATTTTTTATTTTTTTAAAAACTACTGTGTAGGACTTCCCTAGTGGTCCAGTGGGTTAGACTAAATTTCCAGGCAACCATTATAATTAAAAAAAAAATACGAGTGAAGTTGTTTTTCTCTTTCAGGGACAGAAAGGTGAAGCAGGTCCTCCCGGGCTGCCTGGAACTGTGAGTACCAGCGGCATTTGCTATCTGTGAAGTGGTTTGAAAAGAGGGAAAGAGAGATGGGCTGACCTGTCACCTCGGCCACACGCTCCACGGCCTTCCTAGAAGGATGCTGACGTAGGGGGTGCATGTAATTTGAACTGATAATTTGTGTTTTGTATCATGTGGTGTTTGGTATTTACTCATTATCATCCTTGGACACTTTCTGCCTATCTGTGACGACTAAAGTGAAAGGAGTTGCACATGGATAACAATATTAGCAACACATTTGGAAACTTAAATGAAAAGGTCTGGTAAGGAAAAAGATAATCAGAGAAACAGATCATCAATTGCTCCAGAGGAACTGTATCTGAAGGGTAGTATGTACCCTGTCCTTGAATTTCGGCAACTCAGAATTGGGGTGAACTGGTTCCTCCTATTTATTGAGGCTCAGAGAGCCTTTTTCCTGTCTCATATTCCAAGGGCCTTAAAAAAGTCCCCACTTCTGACCTCTTCCAATTAAAAAAAAAATTGAGTGTTCCTGTTACATAATTCCTGAGGAAATTTTAGGCAACTTTTCTGACAATACTCTTCTAAGAAGTCTGTTCTTCTTGCAGCTTGTGAGAGCGTTGAGATATTCCTTACCTGAACTCAGAATTCATATATTTCTAACTTGCCTGCAGTGGTGAGGCCTCTGCCAAGCAGATTATTATGAAAGGAAGCAGAACTGCCTGGCAGAGCTCACTGCAGGGCGAGCAGTGGTCCTGTTTTCCGTACGCCCGCCCCCCTCCTCTTCTCCCACGGCTGCTTCTCTGCTTTCACACGTCTTGAAATAATAAAAGCTGTGTGTTTCTTTGTCTGTACTATAATGTACACCCCAGCCCCTGCCGCGCCGTGTGATGATCTTTCCCTCTGTGATTCAGGTGATTGGCACGGGACCCTTGGGAGAGAAAGGAGAGCCTGGGTACCCAGGCGGTCCAGGGGCGAAAGGGGAGACAGGTCCCAAAGGTGAGGCCCTTTCCTCCTTCCTCCCTGCCCCTCCTCCCTCCCTGCTCCCGGGACCTTGGGCACCCACAGCACAGAGATTCACATCTCAAACCTCCAGTGAACCAGGCTCAGTTCGTCCATCTCTCTGCCTCCTTGTAGGTTTCCCGGGAATACCAGGCCAGCCAGGCCCTCCAGGTGAGCATCCTCAGCTGATTTTTTGAGTATTTGTATGCTTTCTATGCTGTTTCTATTCTGAACGCTGTTTATCCTCTGCATTGGTTAGATACTTGCATAAAATGGTTAGCAATTTTGTTGCACATTTTTCTAGCTCTGAAAACAAGATGTGCTCCTGAGTCAGTGTTTGCTCTGTAAATTGCATGTTAGCAGGTACTTTGACACATGTAAGCTTGCCCTTGCCATCTGTCTGGAATGCCTCAGCTTGAGACTGGACTCAAAGCTGAAACCTCTCCTAGCTAATCTAATCAACCTTAATCTTGCTTCTTGGGAGATCACTGCGTCACGGAGCTTATGCTAAGTCCGTGCTAGTTTTGGGTTTCTCACGGCCGAGTCACCGGGAGGCTGGGGACTGCGCTTCCTGGGGTGCAGAGGCCTGTCTGTGTGGACTGTGTGCATCTCAGGGAGCAGAGGTGATGGGTGCTCAGCGGGGAGCCCGTGCGCCCCGGAACTGACCCCACACGGAGCGCTGGCACTCTTACTGAGGTTTTGGTTGGTTGTTCTTTATTTTTAATTCTTACTGTTCTTTGTTATTTTATTCTTCCCTTCCTGACAGTCCTTAAGTTGAGAGTTCTCCCAGAGCCCCTTCCATTATTTTTACGGGAACAGACACCCCCATCCCCCAACCGTCCGCACTGTCGAAGAAGGCTGGCTTCAGTGCCCTGCATACCTTTTTGCTGCTAAAATGTGGGCATCTACCCTTAGATCATCCTTGTCCATCTTTCCCACCCCGTCTTCTTGGTTGGAAAGCTTACTGGACCTCCCGGGTGCTCTAGCAAACAGGTCACTTCCTGTCTCCCTTGCCAAATCTACTTTCTCAGGCCTCTTATCTGACCCCATTAGCATCTTAAGCTGTGATTTTTAGAAACCATCTTTGAAGCTGCTCTGGCCTTGTCTGTTTTCAGGCGGCCCCGCCTGCCCTCTGCTGACTGTGGAGGCCCTGGCCTCCCTGCCAGCCTCCCTGCCTCCGGCGGCTCACTGGGGCTCAGGTTCACGGCTGGGGTCCAGGTCCAGCCGTCCTTCCTCGGAGCTCTTGCCCGGGCCAGCTCTTCAGGGTTACCTCCCCCGGCCCCTCTCGGAGGCTGGCTGTTCAGTCTCCGGAGCCGCAGTCGCTTCCCCACGGCCGCCTGGACCGCTGGGTCCCGAGCGCTTCATCCAGACCCCCCTGGGCTGTCACAGGCCCCTGCAATCTTGTCCCCACAAAACTCAGGGGGGCCGAGCTTGCCTGCCCGCACTCGCTCCGCCCGCCGCCTCGGCATCGCGCTCTTGCCCAGGGCCGCCTCCTCGTCCTGACTCCTTCTCAGCTGGTTCCGGCCCAGTTCCCACCCGCTCTGCATGCTGACCACGTCTGCTCTGCTGAGCGGCGTTTCTGTGCCTGTCCTCTCTGAGCAGATGGGGAGCGTCCTCTGTCTGACCTGCTGGGGGTGCACGGATGTGAGAGCCTGCACAGTGAGCCCCTGCGCCTCGCAGGGACTTCGCAGGGAGCCCTGGCCCAGCTGCGTGTGCGTGCGACAAGCTGGTGCCGCTTCTCACCGTTAGAGCAGCCCGCACTCAGCGGTGATCTGCTGCTCCTTCTCCCGAGAGCGGCGAAGGGAGCCAGTGATGCTGTCCTGAGACTTGCTGTCGTCTTGTGACCGTGGGGGTCTCCTCTGCTTCCAGGTTTCCCGACTCCGGGGTTGATCGGTGCCCCTGGCTTCCCCGGCGACAGAGGAGAGAAGGGTGAACCGGGCTTGCCGGGCGTGTCGCTGCCGGGACCCAGTGGAAGGGACGGGCTTCCCGGCCCCCCTGGCCCCCCGGGGCCCCCCGGGCAGCCGGGCCACACAAGTGAGTACCTTCTGGGCGCATCCTGCATGGCGTCCCGTCCAGGATGGGTGTGGGCAGAGCTCAGTGGGGCTGGGAGGGTGCCCGCGTTCACGTGCCAAGCCAGAGGCTGGGTGTCCCGCGACTTACGGATTATCTGCATCTCACGTGGGTGTCTTTGCCAAGTTAGTCACCTCAGAAAGGATGCTGCACATAAACTAATGAACCTGGCTGGGAGGAGCAACAGCCGGCTTAGCCAGCGTCTGAAGGTAGAGGCTGCTTGAGTGACAGCGTTCTTACTGGGACTGGCATGTTCATCTAGAGACACAAGCTGGTACTAACACACACACACACAATGAGATGGGGCTGCTCTGTCTGTGGGGTAACATGGCAAGTGGCTTCAAGTCCGAACGGTAGTTTACCGGGCTTTTTCTCATCTGTCCACCATCAAAGCTGAGCACAGAGCACGAACCTGTTGACTCAGTGAAGGTGTTCTGTGGCTCCAGAGTAGCCCCAGTGCAGAGCGTCAGAACCTTCAAGGGGACTTGAACCCATGGCCCCAGGGGGCTGGGTCTACACTCCAGTCTGTGCAGCGTCAGAGCCTCTGAGAGGACCTGCGCTCACGGCCCAGGGGGCTGGGTCTACACTCCAGCCTGTGCAGAGCGTCAGAACCTTCGAGGGGACTTGAGCTAACGGCCCAGTGCGCCAAGCTGACTCCATCCAGCCTGTGCCCAGCAGAGCGACTGCAGCGTGGCTCCTCAGGCTGCTGGAAGGGGCTCCCGGAGGTGCCCATGGTTGACTCCCAGAGAGCAGACCCAGCTCCATGGAAGGACTTCTCGTGGATGAAGCTCCCAGCGGAGGCCAGATATGCCCTGGACGGCAAGAGTGCCTCCAGATGGGCAGCCTCACTGGGAGCCCAGAGGCGCGTGTTTCCTTGTTAATGGGTCGACAGTGCATCCATTGTGACTTCACGGGGACTCCCGCCCCTTCTGATATGAAACGTGGAGAATGAAGCTCAAATAGCGAAGTTCCAGAGGCACACAGCACAAAGGCACGTTTCTCTGCATTTCTGAGAGAAGCCTGTGGGCATCAGAAGGGCCTTTGGGTGCTCATTCACTCATTCCTTGGTCACTTGCTCATTCAACAAGCATCGGAGTGCCTACGATGCCAGGCGCCGCCCTGAGACCTGTGACAGAGCCCACGAAACGGTCCTGACCTCCTGGGCTGTGAACCACGAGACAGAGACCAAGTAAATCAGTAGCTGGTGGGGTGGCAACCAGGGCTATAGACTCAGGAGGAGACGAAGTCAGGAGAGGAAGACAGAGGTCGAGGTGCGGGCAGGCGGGCCATGGGGTGTAGTTTTAAATCGAGTGATCAGCAAAGAGGCTGGTGAGAGAGCCAGCGTGGAGAAATCTTGAGCCTTTTCTTAATAATCTGCCAGTTCTGAAATGTGAACACCTGTCACGGAAAGACTTAAACTTCTGGGCGCTGAGAACCGTGCAGGGTGCGGGAGTTTAATACGTTGTAGTATTTACCCTCTTGGTTTCTCAGTTGCCCTTTTCTGGGTGTGCAGATTAGGTGGTGCACATCACAGTGTGTTAAGTGGTGATTCCTAAACGAGAGTTTTGCACAGACGGAGCTGGTGTGTGGGCTGCGGACGCAGGAGCTGCAGCCGTGGATGTCTGGGCTTCGGTCGTGACGAGGGACCGGTGCAGCCCCGAGTTTAATCGCTCACTCTGTCCTTTTCCTTCAAAGATGCCAGAGAAGGAAGTGCTAACTCTGTCACTGTGTGTGTCCAGAAGCAATACTGTTTTTTACTGGAACCCACAACAGATGGCGTTTGTGTCACCGCATTTCACGTTCATGCTTCTTCACGCCAGTGATGCTCAGGATTGAATCGGAACAATTAGGAGTGTTTTCCCATGGGCAGTCTGCCCCTCTGAAATAATGAGCACTTCTCTGCGAGTCTGCTCAGCAGGAAAAAAAAGGCATAAAGGCTCAGGTGTCCGTGTTGACCTCACAGATGTAGGACGTGGACGGACCATCACTCTTTGAGCCTCAGTTTCTGAATCTGTAAGGATAATGGTGTGTACTTTGCAAGATAATATGAAATAAGGTTCAGGACGGGGCTCAAGAGCTGAAATACATGTTAGAATCGTAAAGTAGAAACTTCAGCGGTGACGGCTTTTGACGGGGAGTGGATGGACACTCTGCATGCTGATTTTACAAGTTAATGTACTGGGACTGTGTCGAAGCAGGTCACAGTGGGATTTCCAGTACTTGTCAGATAGCGTGAACGTAGTTTGGTTTTGTAATGGAGATTGGATTAAGAGCCGGTGAAAATGCCTTGCTCAGCTTGGTGGGAGTGATCCTGTAACTGTTAAAAATCCATTTCAGACGGAATCGTGGAATGCCAGCCCGGGCCGCCAGGTGATCAGGGTCCCCCCGGAATTCCAGGGCAGCCGGGGTTGACGGGCGAAGTCGGAGAAAAAGGTGAGAGGTTTAATTGTTCAAGACAGGGTGATTGTGCTTGGGCGTGTGATACATTCCTTCATGCGTACCGGCTTTGGGTGGACGTGGGTACATTCTTCATTTGAAGCTCTCTTCAGAGTCCCTTCCTGAGATGCGCCTCCCAACGGCCCCGCTGAGATTACTGGGTGCTGGAGAGACAGTTATCACCGGGGAGGCAACGGGGGCCTTGAAGTCAGCGTCCCTCCCTGTGGTCAGCAGATTAGATTCCCAGATTGACATCTCCATGCGGTCCTTTGGTTCAAAGTCCGAGATTCTGTTCTCCAGGAATGCGCATCTTTCCAGCCTCAGCCTGATCACAAGCATGCACACAGGATGTTCACGCCCCTCAGACTCAGTTCCCTTAATCAGTGTGAGCAGCTCTGGGTTCCTGGGTGGGCCAGCTCCACCCAGGGCTCTTAGTTTTATCTTAACCTTTTCAAGGGTCCAGGACTCAGCATAATCCCCTCACAATCTTGGGAATGATGGCTCATCTCTGTACAGACAGGCCTGTCTTAGTGTGGACTAAACCAAGGATGTTCTGGTGTTTATACAGTACGGCTCTTAATGCCCAGACCAAAGAGAGGGTGGCCCCCACAAGACTGATCCCTCTGGGTCCCATGTCTGGCTTTAGATTGCAGAGAATTTGCACTCTTCAGAAGTTTAAAATGCAAATGCCTGGAAAACGTCTTAGCATTTTGACAACCATGTACGTTGTAGAACGCTAGATACATTCAAAGTTTAGGATGAAGACACTAAGACATCCCAAAGGCCTTTTAGCATAGTTTGAAAATTGAGATGCAAGAGATTCGAATTTCCAAAGAAAGGCGTGTCCTCCCATCTTGTAGTTCTGGGGTTCCTCTCACCATCCATCTTCCGTGTCAGGTCATGTCTTGCTTTTTGTGCGTTTTTACTCCCCTGTGTCATCTGTCAGCCTGGAACACGGGTTCAAAGTCCCGGAGCTAGAAGGGCACTTGGCTAAGAAATGCTAAGTCAAAGAGAAAGATGCTGGCAGGTTCCAAAATTAAGAGACAGAAGGATGCAATCGTGTCATCTCAGGCTGATGAGCAGAATGGCATTCTGGATCACTGTGGATTGAGGCAGGGCCTGTCCCTCTGCAGAACAGAAGAATGGGGCTCCTTAGAAGGGTCCCCGTGGTCACCTATGACTGTGCTGAGGGCAGAGGGCAGGCCCCCTGTCAGGACCCACAGCCACTGGCAGCTGGATGCGTCTGGAGCGGGCGCTGGGCGGGCGGTACCTCTCCTGCGCTGCCACTGTGCTGCCGGGCCTTCTACTCCCTCGTTCCGCGTAATACCCTGTGTCTCCTTTTTTAGGTCAAAAAGGAGACAGTTGCCTCGTCTGTGACACAACAGAGCTTCGTGGGCCCCCAGGGCCACAGGGACCCCCCGGAGAAATAGGTAAGACCCCCAGTGTGAAAGGGACCAGGTTAGGATTTGATTCAGTGGGTTGGAACCTTCGCATCTTGCTGCCTGAAGTGCATCTTGCTGCCTGCCCTGATGGTCTGCAGGAGCGCTCAAGCGAGAGGTGACAAGTGGATCTGCCTTGCTGGGATTTGTCCATTTTGTTGAAAACGATCAAGCCGGCCTACAAATGCAGCGTCAGAGAGGTTTCCTAGTGAAAGGGCAGCAGCAGGTGGTTCGCACAGCTCTGAAAACTTCCTCGTCTCCGAGGAGGTCACGCCCTGCTTTGGTGGAAGTGGTCCCTGGGTGGGTGGGCAGGGATTTGTAGCCATCCAGAGTCAGGGTTTCAAGGTCACTTCCCGGCTTCTGAGCCCATTTGGGGCTTTTTTTTTTTTGTCATTACTCTCTTGAGATTCTTTAAACATCATCCACTTTGTATGAAAATCTTAGCGATTTTGAATCTTGAAGAAAAAGGAAGTATTTTGAGCTGTTAGAAAGTGTCTTAACAATGTGCTGAATTTTCCCTCCATCTCTCACAAAAGGTTTCCCAGGACAGCCAGGGGCCAAGGGTGACAGAGGCTTGCCCGGCAGGGATGGTCTGGAAGGAGTGCCTGTGAGTAATCCAGTCTGAGTTCCTGTGTGTTAGAAGTTGCCGCTGAGCATTCCCGCAGAGGCGTATCTTTTTGCATCTGCAAGTGGACTCCTGCTTTATTTGGGAGCCAGCAAAGGATTGCTTTATGGAGCAGTTAGAATGACTCCCCTTGTCCTCCCTGACTGAGCTGGGCATGGGCTGAAGCAGTGAGTCCAGAACCCGCATCCCAACTTGCGGGTCTTCTCACCTGGTCAGAATTCAGCTGCCACTTGACCTGTGTCCAGGGGCAGCTCAGCGCTGGTGGGCACTTTCCCACGGGGCCTCTGGGGGCTCCTGCAGCCAATGGTGCCACTGAGGGTCACTGCAGAAGCTGCGCCGGTGAGCCAGTCTTTCTGCATGACCATCCATCCTGCACCAGATAACCTGGGACTCCTCAGTGAATAAGTTCCGCAGTGGTTTCTATGGGGATGGAGGCAAGCTGACCTGCTTTCCTCTAGAAATCTGAGCTATTCTTTTATTCTCATTATTACAGACATAGATTTTGAAAATTCCTATCACCAGCATCTATTATAAAGATGCTTTTTCAGACCTGTAAAAGACAATATCTCAGTCCCAGATGTGAAACCTTTCAGTTTAAACAGAACATCAGTTTCTTAACCTTTCTACTTTGTTTTAAAAGGAGTCATTGAATAGGAAATTGTACTAATGATCTTAAATATTGAAGGACGTGACTTTTGTGCATGTAATCAGCTTCACTGCTAAAACTTTTAGACCTTTGGACTTTGTTCTCATGTCGTCTTTGTTCTTCTAAGTTCAGTAAGCATTAACCAGCTTCTCCAATTTCTTTCGTTCCTTTTTTCTTTTCATTTCTCTTTTGTACTAAATTGAACATCAAATCTTTAGCATTATTCTTTTTTTGGTGCACAAATTACATTTGTAGTTTAAAAAGATATTTCTGGAAGGTTCTATAAGAGTGGGCCAGGCCAAGAGTGAGTTGAAATAGGAATGAAACAGCTGGAATTCAATGGTTTTCTCCTTTTGAAGTCAGATCATGGGCCTCTGCTCTCCAGAACTTCCCCGGTGCCTGGGGAGCTGAGTTAGAAGTTGCAATTGTTTAAAATATTTCTAAATAAGTTGTAAGTTCACAAAGCTGGGAATGCTGACTGTGGTGGGGATCAAAGTCGGGACCACTTTGAAGGCCACAGACAGAGTCTGGACATGGTCTTTATCTCCTTGGCCTTTCTGGAATAAAGACTTCCTGCTTCGAGTCTGCCTGGAACCTAGTTCAGACACCCGCCCCTAGATCCAGCCCCAGACCCAATAAAAATGAGAAAAAAAATGAAGGGGGATGGTTGAGGAGAAGTCATGATAAAGAAAAAATGCAGAAAATGTATAGCAAAAAACAAATCCTGGTACCTTGTCCATCAGAGCTCCTTTCTTGGTGTAGAAGGAAAACACTTCTAAAAACTGTTCTATGGGCAAATAACTTGAGACGATAACGGCTTTCCTTTTGTTAGATGCAATGTCACAGCTCCATGGTTAAACGAGCTCAAAAATGTGGTCCCCTTATTTTGAATTTGGCTGGAGGCTGAAGGAGGCTCTGCAGACCAGGAGAGCAAACTGGAAAGTAGATTCTAGTGAAAACCCCTCTGGTCCTGCACTTGACTTGGGTAGCGTTTCTGTGACATGGCCTCTGAAGGCCGAGAGTTTGATTTTGGGGAGCAGGGTCCATGCTGAGATGCTGAAGCCCAGCCCCCAGCAGGTTCGGGGTCACTGGGAATGACCCGCGTTGGTCGGATGGAAAGTCTCCTGAATTTTCCCACGGCGGCCCACTTTTTGGAAGAAGACTGCGTAAGTCTTCAGATCTCCAGTTGCTGCAGCCGATGTGAACTGCCAAGGCAGCATTTGATTCTTCAGTATTTATCTTAAGGGATAAGAATCAAAAGACCTTTAAATCGTTTAGGATTAAGAAGGTCTGTGGCAGAGAAACTACAGGAGATGTCCTTGGGTTGTAAATGTCACTTTTCAAAGAAACCCTGGATTTCTCCCTTAATGCCTGACAAGGTCATCGGTATGGGGAAAAAAAAATTGTATTTTTCCCACCCTGTGCTCATAGTCTTAGAAAGCACTGTATTTCTAAGCTGTGAATCATTGACATAACATAACATGAGAGGGTGCTTCTGTTTTGAGAAGGTCTGCACTGGTTGGAGAAGGAAATGGCAACCCACTCCAGTGTTCTTGCCTGGAGAATCCCAGGGATGGAAGCCTGGTGGGCTGCCGTCCATGGGGTCACACAGAGTCGGACACGACTGACGTGACTTAGCAGCAGCAGCACCGGCTGTCATTCCTTACCCTGGCATATATTTTTTATTGATGGAAGTCGCCAGTTCAGCATGTCCTTCCTCCAGCATCTCCCTCGTGGAGACAGACACACGGAGACAAGACAGAAAGCCTTGGTCTTGCCCTCAAAGCCCTGAAAGCTAGTGGAGAGGTGAGCAGACAGTGAACGTCCCTGCGAGCAGGGAGGACCCAGGCTGCCTCGTGGTAACGGGACAGAGCTCCTTGGTCTGTCTGAAGAGGTTTCTGAGTTTAGCCGGGCGTCCTCACCGACTCAGTGGACATGAGTTTGTGTAGGCTCCCGGAGTTGCTGATGGACAGGGAGGCCTGGCGTGCTGCAGCCCATGGGGTCGCAAAGAGTCGGACACGACTGAGCGACTGAACTGCACTGAGCTGAACGATGCGTGGGAGCTAATATTAACTCGGACAGAAAAAAGCTACAAAATACCACAGCAGCTTTCAACCAAGTAATGACTTTTCCCTGACCCCTGCTGACCTTCCCAGCGGGTGGCTGGTGGAAATACTGTGTGGCCCCTGCGGGGATCAGCACATGTAGGCCGAGCATCTTCCCTGATCCCCCAGGAGGGCTGAGTGAAGCGTGCTCAGCTCCCAGGGGCCCTTCCGGCCCAGGGCCAGCTCCGACCAGCAGTGTCTGTCCAGCGGCACTTTCTGCCAGGATAGACCGTCTTCGGTCAGCACCGTCCAGTGTGGGCACCCCTGGCCGGTGGTGGCTACTGAGTCCTTGACGTGTGGCCGTGGGATTAAGGAACTGAGGTTCTACGTTAGGTTTTTAAATAGTAGTGGGCAGAGCAGCCTTGTTGCCCCCTCTCCTGGCTTCTGGAAGAGCCCTGGCTGGCTTCGGCCGCATCTCTGAGAAGGGGTAGCTGCCCGCCTGGATGGAGCAGCCGCCCCACAACTTAGCTGGCACCGTTCTGACTCCTCGGAGGCCAGATGAGCAGACACGTGTCAGCCCCACGGCAATGCCTCCCGAGTGCGCCAGCCCCCGAACCCCTCCGAGCTGAGTCCCCATGTCTGTGCCCGAGGCGGGCTTTCCTAGTAACACCCAACTCCACGGGGCCCACGGGGTGTGGTGGGGATCCAGGACGGGCTCTGCGGTGGGAAATCAGCACTTTCTGGCGTGCGGTCCTGGACGAATCCCTCTCTGAATGTTAGCTCCTCATCTGCCGAGCGGCCGTTCCCACTGTTTCCCTGTGGAGTCGGGTTAAGAGTCAGGGCTGCCCCAGGATGGGATGCCTCGCAGGCGTGTGGGGAATGGGAGCCGTGTTGGAGTCTAAAGGTTGTGTGGATTTGGGTGTCTCTGCCCCTCCGGCTCCCTCCATTGAGGAGCACGGGTTACACATAGACAGAGGTGTGTGCACGCGCGTGTGTGTGTGCACGCGTGTGCTTCACAGACATCCAAAAACCATTTCAAAGGGAAAGGGGCTCAAACCACGTGAATCCTGCCTAGTGAGCAGGGACTCCTCTCAGAGAGAGCTCAGTGAACAGTCGTTAGAAGTCCTGGCTCTTCCCTCCGCTCAGGAGGCTGGAGGAGGCGCCTTCTAGGGTTGTGGGCATCCTTTGAGGATCCTGCCTTCCAGGAGTTGAGAGATAGTCTCTTGGGAAACTCACTCCCGTTCCGTTGACGGCTCAGCATCACGGTTACAGAGCTGGCCGGGTGCTCGCCCTGGGCGTCTCCTCTGCCCAGGTGCCCTGCACCTTCTCATCTCTTCCGGAATTAGGGCCGTAAGCGTGGAAGGGAAGCTGTGTGCTTTCAGCGCTGGCCAGACTTGGAGAACATGGCTGCTCCCAGCTCCAGCTCCGGCTCCTGGGCCCAGGGAGTCGCAATCCAACGCCTGCCAGGCAGAGCTAACCTGTTCTGGGCAATGTGAGCAGTTGTGAAAGGCAGGAAGGCACCGGGGACTGGCCCACAGGCTGGGGACAGCTGCTGTTCTGTGTCCCCGCCGGCGATCCTAGCAAAGGCTTTTACAGGGCCACGCGGCAGGGAGGTCAGCTCAGGGCTTGGTCACAGAGCTGCTGGCTGGCTCCCAGACAGGGAACGAGGAAACTGCACCCGTTCCCAGTTTCCCAGGCGTCCTGACCCCTTGCTGGCTCTGCTTTGCTCTCCGGATGAGCGTCTTTGCTGGGGGCATCATAAGGTTTTGTTCTTGCAGGGTCCGCAAGGTTCCCCGGGGCTCATGGGCCAGCCGGGAGCCAAGGGGGAGCCCGGCGAGATCTACTTCGACATACGGCTCAAGGGAGGTCAGCTCAGGGCTTGGTCACAGAGCTGCTGGCTGGCTCCCAGACAGGGAACGAGGAAACTGCACCCGTTCCCACTTTCCCAGGCGTCCTGACCCCTTGCTGGCTCTGCTTTGCTCTCCGGATGAGTGTCTTTGCTGGGGGCATCATAAGGTTTTGTTCTTGCAGGGTCCGCAAGGTTCCCCAGGGCTCATGGGCCAGCCGGGAGCCAAGGGGGAGCCCGGCGAGATCTACTTCGACATACGGCTCAAGGGCGACAAAGGAGACCCCGGCTTCCCAGGCCAGCCCGGCATGCCAGGCAGAGCGGGATCCCCTGGAAGAGACGGCCACCCGGGTCTGCCCGGCCCCAAAGGCTCCCCGGTAGGTGGATTCCCAGACTCTGAACAAGTGCTTGACGGATGGATACGCAGATAAACTTATTGGTACCATAACTGCCTGTGTCCACTGGTGGGGGGGCGGTCGATGTCATGGACAGACTTGTTTCTCGTCCCCTGGGGAAGCTGTGGTCTGTAAACCCAGGAGCTGAGGACCTTGCCTTGAACAACGAGATGATAAGGGAGTCACTGTCTTCTGATGGGTCTGGGGGAACTGAAAAGGCGCCCACCTGCTGGATGGGAGGTGAAGTTTAAAGTTAATGGCGCTCATGTCACCCTTTCAGAGAGGATTCCAGAGATCAATGCTTTCCTCTGTGGAGTGTGCCCTAGCCTGGGGGGAGGCAGGCAGGGCGATTTCTCTGCTGAGATGGAAGAATGCTGGTTTCGTTGATTAACTGCAGGTTGACCTTTGCTGACGGGTCGAGGTGAATAAGTAGCCCAGCCACGTTAGAGCCTGGTCACTCATTTACTGCGGATGCTGGGAAATGTGCGCTGGGTCGGAGCGCTGGTATGTCTGCTGATAATGCTCTCTTTCTCACTCCAGGGTTCAGTAGGATTGAAAGGGGAGCGTGGCCCCCCAGGAGGCGTCGGATTCCCCGGGAGCCGTGGCGACATCGGCCCTCCGGGGCCTCCAGGCTTCGGCCCGATTGGCCCCATTGGTGACAAAGGACAGATGGGCTTCCCAGGAAACCCCGGGGCCCCAGGCCAGCCAGGTGAGGCCCGAGGTCCTCAGGTACCGCCTCAAAGCACCAGGAGTCTGGGCTCAGCCATGTGCGGGTGTGGGTCTGGTTCCAGTCCTGCCAGGAGCTGGACTGTGGCCTGGGCAAGTCCTTCCTTAGCATTCCCATGCTTCATCCCTTCCTTTATGAGCTGGGCCAGGGGGTGTGTGTAGCCTCTGGATGACAAGAAGCTGAATTTAAGGTGATTTCCTTATAGATAAGTATGCCATGCATGGCAGCCCTCTCCAATATTCGTCCCTGGAGAACCCCATGGACAGAGGAGCCTCGCAGGCTCCAGTCCAAGGGGTCGCAAAGAGTCAGAGATAACGGAGTGACTTAGCACGCAGCACGCCCATGCCGTACGTACCAGTGAAAACCAGCCCTTTATGTGGATGTTAAAACAGCATAGGCCCATGCTCTCCTTTTCCCCTGACGAGCGGCCCGTTTTGGCTTCTGCGTATCCCCGGCCACGTACGGGTTCATCATCGGGGACCGCAGGGAAGGGGGCTCCCCAGGACCCGCACACAGAAGCTGCTCGGTGACCTGACTGTGATCCACTGGAAGGACCGATGCTGAAGCTGCAGCTCCAGTCCTTTGGCCACCTGATGGGAAGAGCTGACTCATTGGAAAAGACCCTGACGCTGGGAAAGATTGAAGGCGGGAGGAGAAGGGGACGGCAGGGGATGGGATGGTTGGATGGCATCACCAGCGTGATGGACGTGAGCCTGGGCAAACTCCAGGAGATGATGAAGGACCGGGAAGCCTGGCGTGCTACAATCCACGGGGTCGCAGAGAGTCAGACACGCCTGAGTGACCGAGCAACAACAGAGAAGGAAGGGAGCGCTGACATGGTTGCCTGCAACACTTAGAAAAGGAGAGGTCGGGAGTGACCTGGACACGGAGGACAGAGGACGTGCGCGTTACTGGGACGTTTTACAAGTGGGAGAAGAGAGTGAGAGGTGGCCGGGGTGGCTCCAGTGCCGTGAGCAGGGAACCTCGGGGAGCACAGTGACTCAGCAGTGGACGGCCAGGGCTTCCAGGAAGAGCTGCCGTTCGTCCGGCCCTCACACGTCTGCCCGCTGTCCCAAGCCGGTGTCCGGCCCCGAGTTCCACCAGTCTCGGCCCCCACTGGGAGCCGTCATCTCCTGTGAAGGCACGGTATAGAGTCATCAGCTCGGCGCCGCAGGAAATGCCAGCAGCCTTTGATGGGAGTGCAAACGCATCTTGCTGTGTCAGTTGTTACTGCTGTCATTGCTGGGTGATCACTGGTTACTTGGCCTTAAGTTAGGACTGACTTGTTCGCTGTTTAGCAGGGACCCGAGAAATGTCTCTTCTATGACTCCGTTCGGGGCAGGAAGTCCTGGGCTTGGCTTGAAGCCCCTCGGTCTTGGAGAGGGGCCCTCCTGCTCCTGATTCCCAGAGCACCATCTCAAGTGTTCTGTGTGCCCCTCGAGCCTGAATACTTGCAGAGTGTAAACAGGAATCAGCTTTTTCTCTCGGCTAGAAGCCACCATCATCAGAAAAGCCTGTGGGGCACACACGGATAGGTCTTGAGAGGATGAAGAGAAGGTTCCTAAAGGTGGGAAAGCTGGCAGTGCTATCGGGCAGTTGGCCACATTCTGGAAGCTCTCTGGGCCACTCCAGACCCCGGCAGCCCCGGGATTAGAGACCCAGCTGCTCTGATCGGCCAGAGCTGTGTTTGCTCTGAGGATCATAAAAGCCTCATTCCCAGGCCTGGAGCTGATAGCACAGATGTGTTGGGGTCAGGCCCCGGCGTTTCCCACAGTCTGCAGCTAACGAGAGTGGCGGCCGCCCTCGGGAGGCCCTCATTATCCTGAATTCTTTAAGGTACGCAATGATTCAGTGAGATGAGGCCTGTGGTCCTTCCCTGACACAGCTCAATCCTGACACCCAGTGGTCCTCGCAGGCACGGGCGCCCAGGGGCTGGGCACCCCCTCCCAGCTTGGAGAGGGAGGGGCTTTTCTGGGCTGCTGGCGATAACCCGGCTCATGTCGCCCGCGGAGCAGGTCCTGAAGATGACTTCCAGCGAACGGGCCTCAGAGCAGCTGAGAGCCAGTCCCGTCTGAGATGCTCAGAGGGGCTGGCCAGGGGGTCCTGACTTGGACAGATGGTGACCCGGGGTCGCCTTGCTTTCTGCATCTGCTGAGTTTTCAGCTTTTCGTGACTCTTGTTTTGGACACGTAAGGGATGCCTGTGTTGACGGAACGTCCCGGTCAGTCTGGACGTTTGTGGAGAGGAGGCGGTCGGTCTCTGTGAGAGATGCTTCGGTGGAAGGAAAGGAGGGAGGTGTGTGGACGGGGCCGCTCTCCCGGACGCGAGCCTGCGGCCCTCACGCTGAGCGTCTGTTCTCTTCCTCCAGGTCCCAAGGGAGAGGCAGGAAAAGTCGTGCCCTTGCCCGGCCCCCCTGGAGCAGAAGGACTTCCCGGGTCCCCAGAGCTGTGTTTGCTCTGAGGATCATAAAAGCCTCATTCCCAGGCCTGGAGCTGATAGCACAGATGTGTTGGGGTCAGGCCCCGGCGTTTCCCACAGTCTGCAGCTAACGAGAGTGGCGGCCGCCCTCGGGAGGCCCTCATTATCCTGAATTCTTTAAGGTACGCAATGATTCAGTGAGATGAGGCCTGTGGTCCTTCCCTGACACAGCTCAATCCTGACACCCAGTGGTCCTCGCAGGCACGGGCGCCCAGGGGCTGGGCACCCCCTCCCAGCTTGGAGAGGGAGGGGCTTTTCTGGGCTGCTGGCGATAACCCGGCTCATGTCGCCCGCGGAGCAGGTCCTGAAGATGACTTCCAGCGAACGGGCCTCAGAGCAGCTGAGAGCCAGTCCCGTCTGAGATGCTCAGAGGGGCTGGCCAGGGGGTCCTGACTTGGACAGATGGTGACCCGGGGTCGCCTTGCTTTCTGCATCTGCTGAGTTTTCAGCTTTTCGTGACTCTTGTTTTGGACACGTAAGGGATGCCTGTGTTGACGGAACGTCCCGGTCAGTCTGGACGTTTGTGGAGAGGAGGCGGTCGGTCTCTGTGAGAGATGCTTCGGTGGAAGGAAGGGAGGGAGGTGTGTGGATGGGGCCGCTCTCCCGGACGCGAGCCTGCGGCCCTCACGCTGAGCGTCTGTTCTCTTCCTCCAGGTCCCAAGGGAGAGGCAGGAAAAGTCGTGCCCTTGCCCGGCCCCCCTGGAGCAGAAGGACTTCCCGGGTCCCCAGGCTTCCAGGGACCACAAGGTACCCTTAGCGTTCTCGCCGGTTCACCTGGGGCCTGTGGGAAAGCGCTCGTGTTCTCTGACCGCCGGCCTCTCCCGCCGCAGGTGACCGAGGTTTTCCTGGAAGCCCCGGAAGGCCGGGCCTCCCCGGAGAGAAGGGCGCCATCGGCCAGCCTGGGATTGGATTTCCAGGGCCTCCTGGCCCCAAAGGTGAGCCCTGGTGGGGCCTCATGAGGGGTCTTGTTCACGTGCCTGTTTGGGGACTTCCCTGGAGGTCCAGTGGCGAAGACTCCACTCAGTCAATGCAAGAGGCACGGGTTCAATCCCTGAGCGGGGAACTAGGCTCCCGTGTATTGTGTGGTGTGGCCCAAAGATTTCTTTTTTAAAAATGCAGGTCTGCACTGGGAGATCCGGGCTGGTTTTCTAATCAGGCAAAGGGGATGCCCCAACCTCACTCGGAGTCCCCAGAGTCTAAATCGCCATTCCCAGTCTGCAGATACTTGTGTGATGTGTTTGTAGGGAGCAGATAGGAAAAAAAGTTTACAAAGAAGGAAAGGAATGGAGGGGCAGGAGAGAGGGAGAAAGCGGAGGGGGTGGCTGGCGTCGTGAGTGGTCCCTGCCCCCAGTCGCCCCCCACCAGACCCAGTGTGGTCTCATATTCCTTGTTGACCCCCTCAAGTCTGTTCAGGTTCATCTGAGCAGGTTAAAGAAGTGGAGGATGTTGGGGGTAGTATTTTACATTGACGATTTTTTTTTTCACTCTTCCAAACAGGCGTGGATGGTTTACCTGGAGACGCTGGGCCTCCTGGGAATCCGGGTCGCCAAGGCTTCAACGGCTTACCTGGCAACCCCGGTCCGCCTGGCCAGAAGGTGTGTATCGAGCATTCCCTGGACTGCTGTCCGCATCGCTGTGATGAACTGGGCACACAAATCGTAGGCTGCTGGTCCCACGGGGTGTGTTGGGTCAGCACGTTTTATGTGCCATAGCATCAGCCAGGAAATACCCAGCGATGTGGGGCAGCATACAGCCCTGCGTCGTTGCGGAGGAGTCGTTTGTTCCCGCCTCGCATCTGTGCTGTTGCCCGTGTGCGTCCTGGGTCTCCACGTGCAACGCGTGTCCTGTCGGGAGTGGAGGAGGAAGGCAACTTGAAGCCCCCGGGAGGGTGGGCGGCAGCCTCTCTCAGCTTCCGTCATATGGACACTTGGGTCCCGTCATTCGTCGTGACGGGGACTGCCCTGAGCACCACGGGGTCCTTAGGAGCCTCCTCCGTGGCCCGAGCCACAGATAGCAAAAGAGCTCCCCCGAGTGCACGCCCAGGTCTGACAGCCCACGAACCTCGGCTCGGAGGGTCACCAGCTTCTCTGTGCTTTGGGTCTCCAGGGCGAGCCTGGAGTCGGTCTGCCGGGACTCAAAGGCCTGCCTGGGATACCGGGCATCCCCGGCACCCCCGGGGAGAAGGGAAGCGTCGGAGGACCGGGAGTTCCTGGAGAGCACGGCGCTATCGGCCCCCCCGGCCTCCAGGGGCTCAGAGGTAATGTCTTACGGGCATATCTGGCTGGTGGCAGGGAGGGATCTGCTTCTTGTGTGGGCGCAGAGCCCCTGCTAGGTCCCAGTAAATGTTTGTGGAAGGAATGATGACAACCCTGGGCGGCGTCCCGGCACCTGGGGTGATGGGTGGTGCTCCTGACGCGGCCGTGTCCCTGTGTGATGTGGCCACTGTTTCTTCCCCATCCAGGTGACCCGGGACCTCCTGGATTGCAAGGCCCCAAAGGAGCTCCGGGAGTCCCCGGAATCGGCCCCCCTGGAGCAATGGGCCCCCCCGGAGGACAGGGACCCCCAGGGTCATCAGGTGATACTGCGTTCTTGCAGAATGCCCCTTCCCTAACCCACAATCTGTGGCTCAAAGGGGAAGTCAGTTCTTTTGTGGATACAGGCTTGATGGCTCAGATGGTAAAGAATCCATCTATAAAGCCGGAGACCTAAGTTTGATCCCTGGGTCAGGAAGATCCCCTGGAGAAGCGATAAGGCAGCCCACTCCAGTACTCTTGCCTGGAGAATCCCATGGACAGAGGAGCCTGCTGGGCTTCAGCCCACGGGGTCGCAAAGAGTCGCACAGGACTGAGCGACTCACACACAAAGTCACGGATGCCATTCTCTTCCTCTCTCTGAACTTGGTTTATGTGCCAAAGACACTTCCCCTTTACTGTACATTCAGTACCTTTTTAGTTTAGTTCAGAAGGATCGGCGCCTCTGTCTGACCCTCCCGCAGGAGGGGCAGTGAGTCATGGGTGGCACACAGGAGTCCGTGTCTGGAAGCTGCCTCTGCCTTTATAATCATCGTCAAGTTAGACAGGGGTGGTGGGTGGCACAGGGCAGCCAGGGAGAGCCGCCCGGGGGACGCTGGGCTGAGTCTTCCCGCCGTGGAGGGGCCGTGGAGGGGCCTGCTGCCGATGCCCCGCGGGCAGGGGGCACTTCCTCTTGGGACAGTGCATGCCCACGGCGGCCCCACACCACCGTCTGAGGAGGGGGAGCAGCTCCACGCCCTCCACCCTGATGTGGCCACAGCCACACGCCTTCTGCAGAAAGTCACAGGCACACGGGCTCCAGGGCAGTGCCGGAAACCCCGCCAGTCCTGCCAACACCCCTTCTCTTCCCCGTCTCAGGTCCCCCCGGAGTGAAAGGAGAGAAAGGCTTCCCCGGCTTCCCAGGCCTGGACATGCCGGGCCCCAAAGGAGACAAAGGGTCCCAGGGGCTCCCAGGCCTGACGGGGCAGTCGGGGCTGCCTGGCCTTCCTGGACAGCAGGGCACCCCTGGCCAGCCTGGCTTTCCAGGTGAGTGACTGAGCTCCACCCACGTGGGCCTGGGGAGGTGCCTCCTGGCTCTTGTTCACGACCCTCATTCAGCCTCCGCCACCAACGTTCACGGTCCTTCTGTCCGGCCACAGGTCCCAAGGGAGAGATGGGCGTCATGGGGACCCCGGGGCAGCCCGGCTCGCCAGGACCAGCAGGCGTGCCAGGATTGCCGGGTGCCAAAGGTAAGGAGCGGTGACTGCGGAAGAGCTTGTGTTATATATGTCTGGGCCCCAGTGCCTTGTGGGAAATTCTCTAATTGTGTAGGTTGTAGTTCATCCCAAGAAACCTGGGAAAGGACAAGGTCAAGTGAAGGGTCCAGAAGTCCCCCTTGTGTAACCCATGGTTCGTGGGGGTTATGGACTGTGCCCCACCAAAAAGTCAGGGAGAAGACAGGTTTGGGGGTACTGTTTTTTGGCACCGTTGAGTTTTTTTTGGAAAGGGTGGAATCTTCAGTCGTGCAAGGTCAAGGGAACTGAAACCTTAGAGTCGGAGTAGCAAAGAGAGTCTTAATTTTCTTTTTGTATCATGACATTTGGTCCAAAATAATGTTCTGTTTTGTTTGTTTAAACAAAAAGAATTGACTTTGAACCTTAGACATAAAAGTGGTGATTTGTGTAGTTGTGTGGGAGAGTTCCCCTTCCATTACTTCACGTAGAGTTGAGGGACCACTGTGAACTGGGAGTCAGGAGGGATTTAGGAAGGAGAGAAAAATGTCATTTATTTAAATTAAGAGCTGAAGTCTCATCTGTTGGAAGTATCAGCAAGTAATGAATTCTAGAAATGGCTTTATTGTTCGTTTGCCTGGTATCACCTTCTTCTGGGTAATGCGGACGCTGGCCCTCGAGTGCCATTTTTGGAGAGGCTGTTTGTTCTTTATTCCTTCTCGGTTGCGTCACTGGCCAGAAAGAACCGTGCGCTTGTCACTGCCCGGGGCCCTTGGCCGCGAGTCACTCGGTGCCCCCTCTCTTTCTGCAGGGGACCACGGCTTCCCTGGCTCTTCAGGACCCAGGGGAGACCCTGGCTTCAAGGGTGACAAAGGCGACGTGGGGCTCCCTGGCAAGCCCGGCTCCATGGATAAGGTGGACATGGGCAGCATGAAGGGCGAGAAGGGAGACCAAGGCGAGAAAGGTAACGTGGAGGAGGCTCACCTGCGGAGCGGGGAGCGGGTTGGACGAGCTACTCGGTTCTTCCCTCGTGATGACCGACCCACCTGTGTTTCTATGACTTGCTTTAAGTAGACTTGCATCGTCATTATTATTTCTTTTTCCTGTGTTGCACAGGACAAACTGGTCCGACCGGTGATAAAGGATCCCGGGGAGACCCAGGAACGCCAGGCGTGCCTGGAAAGGACGGTCAGGCAGGACACCCCGGGCAGCCAGGTACAGTGGGAAGCACGAGGTCGCCCACACGGCAGGGGCTCGTGAGGGGAGGTGTTACCTGGTGCTCTTCGTGGCTGTTGACATGTTGGGTTTTTGTCTTTATGATCCCAGGACCTAAAGGTGATCCAGGTGTGAGTGGGATCCCAGGCGCTCCGGGACTTCCTGGCCCCAAAGGATCCACTGGTGGAATGGGCCTACCAGGTACGTGGGGCTTAGGAAAGGGGGCTTCTTCCTGGCGCGCCTGTGGCACCTGTCGGGCTGCTGGGCTGAGGCTTGGATGAGACCCACTGCCTGAGGACGTAATCCAGGGAGACGTGTCTTTTACACAGACTCACACCTTCATGTGAGACTTCTTGCCTAGGAAGGGCGGGCATTTGGCTGACCCTATGTCCCTGGCTTAAGAAAAACAGACAAAAGCCCTCCCAATTTAACAAGATGGACATGGGTGGTAGGCTGGGGACTTTCTCCAGGTGTGTCTATTTGGATCCATCGAAAAGGCAATTAATTCTCCACTCAGTTTTCTCAGCACCAGAGTCTCCTGCTCTCCTGACATTAGCTCAGAAGACTCTTCTGGGCCCTCTGACCCAGTGCTGAGCTGGCTTCCACACTTTGCCATCGGCATTTGCTGCAGTGACAGCTGGCACAGAGGAGGCAGGAGACAGAAAGCTGAGAGCCGAGGGGCATGGACGGTCTGGGTGCCAAGGCGTCTCAGAATCTCCTGGAGCCACAAGTCAGGCCAGCAGTCCTGTCTCACGGCTCCTCCCCAGGCCTCTGCGGGGTGCACTGTCACTTTATTTAAGATATAAATGCCCAGCTGCTGTGGGCACCTGCTTATAGGTTAGATTGACTGTCCACATGAATCTGGAAGCAGGGACAGTTCTGTTCTCCATGACCTGCGTCATGCTCCCTCTGATTCATTAAGTTTGATTGCAGAATAAAGGACGTGGAAGCCACTTTATGCTGTTGGGAAAGTAGGCATGGGCTGAGCAGTTAACATATTCATTTTCCCTTTGTAATGTGGCTGTCTTTAAAAGACAGGAAGGCTGTTTCCTAGGGTCCTTCTCCACGGTGGGATGACTGGCACCTTCCTGGATGATGCACAGTCCAAGAAATGAGAGATGTGTGTTTTTCCGCCTCCTTGACTGGCTGTTGAGGCGCGTTCTTATTTGTAATACTAATACCTGCTAACCAGACATTCTGCCTCCATTGTGTATTTCTAGGAATGCCAGGACCAAAAGGTGTGGCTGGCATCCCCGGCCCGCAGGGCATTCCTGGCTTACCTGGAGACAAGGGGGCAAAAGGAGAGAAAGGGCAGGCGGGTCTGCCTGGCATTGGGATTCCAGGACGGCCCGGGGACAAGGTAACTACTGCATCCTGCACGAAAGCCCCTCCCACCCGTCTCTGCGGAAGCCCCTCCCACCCGTCTCTGGAAGCCCCTCCCACCCGTCTCTGAGTCCCCGCGCCCACGTGCACGCAGGCGGTCGTCCCCGCGCCCACGTGCACGCAGGCGGTCGTCCCCGCGCCCACGTGCACGCAGGCGGTCGTCCCCGCGCCCACGTGTATGCAGGCGGTCGTCCCCGCGCCCACGTGTATGCAGGCGGTCGTCCCCGCGCCCACGTGCACACAGGCGGTCGTCCCGCGCCCACGTGTATACAGGCGGTCGTCCCCGCGCCCACGTGTATACAGGCAGTCTCTGCGCCCACGTGTGTACGGGTGGTAGTTGTTGCAGCCGCGTGAATACAGACGCTAGTCCCCGAACCCACATGTATACGGGCTGTAGTCCCTGCACCTACGTCTATACAGGAGGCGCCTCCAGACCCGTGCCTACTTTCCCAACAGCATTAACAGGCCCAATCTACACCCACAGGGAGACCAGGGCTTATCAGGATTTCCGGGAAGCCCCGGCGAGAAGGGAGAGAAAGGAAGCACTGGGATCCCAGGGATGCCCGGGTCGCCGGGCCCCAAAGGCTCCCCGGGCGGTGTTGGCTATCCAGGTAAGTGGGCCAGCCTCCTCCTGAGCTCGGGGTCCAGGGGTGGCAAAGAGAAAGTCACGGTCATAGGAACCGGGTGTTCTGGTTTTTCTTTAGGAAGCCCTGGGTTGCCTGGAGAGAAAGGTGACAAAGGCCTCCCGGGACTGGATGGCATTCCTGGCATCAAAGGAGAAGCAGGTAGAGACCACATTTCAGGACACATGGGGGCCCATGGAGGGAGGTCACGGGACGTCAGGCTGGGTGACCTCTGCATGACCTGTGGGGTCACACCTCCTTCTCCAGTTGAATAGACTGTGTCTGGGGGCGTTTCCAGGGTCTTCCAAGGTCTTCACACCAATTAGACTGGAACTGGTTTTAGAAACAAGTTTTCCTGCTTGGCATGATGGATGGATACTCTTTGTCTCCACTCACTCCAGCTTCTGGGGGTCAGCATGCAGTGGTCCCTGCTGAGGGGGATTCAGGAGCAACTTGCAGGAAGCTGGGCCTGCTTGAGGGGTGGGAACGGCTCCCCAGAAGCATGTTGGGTACAGTGGTGCATTTTCCACACAGATCAGGGTGCTGACCAGTCTGACCATTCTCTTTGAGGTCTTCCTGGGAAGCCTGGCCCCACGGGCCCAGCTGGCCAGAAAGGGGAGCCCGGCAGCGATGGAATCCCAGGGTCGGTGGGAGAGAAGGGCGAGCCAGGTACGTTGGGTGTCCGTTCCCTTTCAGAGTGAGGCTGTGCCCTGGAGCGCACATCTCCCAAAGCTTCCCATTCCTTGCTGAGTGACCGGGGCCTGGTGTAAAGTGGCACCTACGTTGTTCCATCCTTACATCTGTGGGACAGTATCTGTGGGGCAGGGTGGGATGAGAGAAGGGGAGAGGCAGTGTTCATTTATTCCACAGATACTTCTGGGCACCTGCCCTTCAAATGGCCTGAGCTCTTGTGGTAAGTGAAAGAGATACACAGAAAGCCCAGACCGTGGCTTTCTCTGCCTGGCCTTTCTCCCTTTAGACAGATGGTCCTGGGGATAGCTGCTGCCCCCTGAATCTGCTCCTCTCACTGATGGGGACGTGGCAACTTGGCAAAAAGTGCAAGCTGTGAGCTCCAGTGATGATAATCACATGTGCAATAATATTCGTATATATTGAGTTATAATACTCATGTAGACTGAGTTGGCCAAAGAGTTCATTTGGGTTTTTCTGTTACATCTTATGGAAAAACCCGAATGAAACTTTTGGCCAACCCAACAGCAGGAGGGTGACACTCAGTGTGAAACAGGTGACCCCCGGTCATGGGGATGGAGGGAGGGACGCAGAGCTGGGAAGGGGTGGTCAGAGGCCCCCTTACTGCTGGCGCTGGCCTCCTTCTACAGCTCATGTTTTCATTCTATGAGCCTTATGTTTGTATTATGTACATTCATTTTCCTATAAAAATAATTCGTTAAAAGTGCCACCATACCTACTTCCCTCCTTTGGATCTTCCCTCACATGCTTTATGCACATTTGTGGGCTCCTTGCTGTCTGCTGGCCCACCTGGCCCTCTGCACCCCCTTTGAGAATAGCTGTTAGTTGGATGGTCATCTGAGAAAAGCCGATTGTGAGTCTCCAGACAATAATGGGAAATTAGCACCCATTTGCACAAGTTGTTTCTACTAAATGCTGTAGTGGTTCTGAGCTCAGAGGTACTTGGGAAAATGTACTACGTTATACATATCCAGTCAAGGGTATCTTAGAACAACTGTAGGAATACAGTTTTACTTGCAAAGTGTAGTGAACTGATTTCTTTGTGTTCTGCAAATTGTGTGTGGTTTTGGCACCAAGAGTGGGTATTGCTTTGTGCTGTTCTGCAGCTTGGCTGCTTTAGGAGAGGTGAACGTGGCTTCTTACCTTTATCTCGTAGGTCTGCCTGGAAGAGGATTCCCAGGGTTTCCAGGGAGCAAAGGAGAGAAAGGTAACACATTTGCCAAATCTGTTCTTCCTTTTCAGCAAACCTCTGGTACACACAGCGCCCTCAGAGCAGGGCGGGCAAATACAGGGAAGCCCTTGGACTTAGGGTGGTGATAGATTAGGGTCTGGGACAGTAGACAGGACCCTCTCCGCTGGCACGTGACAAGCCGCCGTGCCATGTGCCGTGCCTTGGATTCATGCTCGTGAAGTGGGGGCATGTGGGAGGGACCCCAAGGAGGGCCCCGTGATCCTTCTAGGCCGTGACCCTGTTTCCTTCCCTTCTTCCTTTAAGATGGTCCTAGAATTTTGTCATTTTTTGACAAGTTTGGTATAGTATGTTTAAAACTAAACATGCAAGTTTTTTTCCTACAAGTTCTGACTTAGAAATTTAAAAAAAAAAACAGCTTTATTGAGGTGTCACTGACATGTAATAAACTGCATATATTTAAAGTGTACAGTTTGATAAATCTTGATATATGTGCACACATCCATGAAAATACCAGCACATTCAACATGTGAACACATCACCGCCCCAGAAGTTCCCCGGGCTGCCTTGTCAGCCCCCTCCTGCCCCTTTCTGCCCCCTCCACCCCACTGCACCCCAAGTAACCGTTGGTCTGCTTTCTGGCACTGTCGACTAGCTTGTATTATCTAGAATTTTACGCAAATGGAGTCCTACAACATGTACGTTTCAGCCTGACTTCTTTAACTCGGCATGAGTCTGAGCGTCACCGGTGCCGTAGTTCCACTATTGTGTCTGTCCTTCACTCTTCTCGCTGAGTCGAGCTCCTTGGGATGGATATAGCACCGTTTGTTTCTTTATTCACCTGTGGATGGGGCAAGCCCTTAATTTCGGCAGTGCCATACCTTGCCGGCTTGTGTCCACATATATGCAAGTGCCTTTGCCGTAGAACACGTGCTTTAAAGAGCATAAGGAATGATGGCAGCTTCTTGGTATCCTAAGCTTTCGTTTTTCAGGTGGGCTGTGGCGGGAGTCAAGTGTTATTCAGTAAAAAGGAGAGAGAAGGGCCCCCAGCTCTGGTTTCCTCCTGGGCCTTCTGGAGGCTCCCCCTCCTCCTCGGTGCACTGGGTTTCTCTTCTTCCCTGCATTTCACCACCATCTCCACTGTCTTTACTGTTCAGGTTCAAAGGGTGACGTGGGTTTCCCAGGATTAGCCGGGAGCCCAGGAATTCCTGGATCCAAAGGAGAACAAGGCTTCATGGGTCCCCCGGGACCACAGGGACAGCCGGGATTGCCAGGGACCCCAGGCCACGCGGTAGAGGGGCCCAAAGGAGACCGCGGCCCGCAAGGACAACCCGGCCTGCCAGGTAAGGATGTTTCAGGAGCTCAGCGCTGGGGCCGAAAGAGGGACACACGACGCGGGTGTGACGCGGATGATCAGTCTTGAATGAGCCTTCTGTCGAGAAGCTGGCAGCCTTTTTCACCCCTTGAAACTGCTGAAGACTTTGGGCCGCTGTCTCCTGGGCCTCTGCTGCTGCTCTTCCCGGGTCCTCTCTGTCGGGGAACTTAGTATGCACGGCAGGGAGCCGGGGGAGGGAGGCAGGGCATCACAGGGAGGGCTGGGCCACGTGCGGTGGGGTTAAAACCGGCGTGACCTCTGTCCCCCGGCGCAGCGGTGCTGCAGGGCGACGCGGCGCCCGAGCCTGGGGCCCGCGGGGCACGGACTCTGAGCCTGGCTGTCTGAAGCAACGTGTGCTGCCTGCTGAGTCTTCCCCGGGACCGGGGTCTTCAGGGCTCATGCAGCTTTAACGTGATGTTGCCTCGGGCAGTTGGGGGCACTTGGGTGGCATCGTGACAAGCACAGTCTAATGCCACTTGTACATCAGACCACCCTCCAACCTCAAGTGTGTGTCTTCTGTGTCTCCCACTAGGGCATCCGGGACCCATGGGGCCTCCAGGCCTCCCCGGGCTCGATGGGCTGAAAGGTGACAAGGGGAACCCAGGCTGGCCGGGCACTCCAGGAGCACCAGGGCCCAAGGGAGACCCAGGATTCCAGGGCATGCCGGTGAGTTGTCCAATGACAGGTCCTGTTTTTGGAAAGGATCAAAAGATAATACTTTGTGTGTGTGTGTGTGTGTGTGTGTGTGTGTGTGTGTGTATCCACATGCATTACATGTATGTTATACTCCCAGAGCCTCTCTAAATCAGTCCGTTCTCTCTGGCAAGTAATCACGGTAGGCAGCTGTTAACAACAGTTCTTATACTCTAGTTTTACATGAACCATCAGACATGAAATGTTACAATACTGGAAATTACAGTTCAATGCCTGGCTTAAAATATAGTTCAATGCCTGGCTTAAAAACCTATGTACAAATGATACAAAAAGAAAACCTCAGTAACACAGAAATATACACTCTATTCCTAGTGCCATTTTCAGTCTGTGTCATGAGTGCACATGTGCATTATATGTACGTTGTTGTTCAGTTGCTAAGTCGTGTCTGACTCTTTGCGACCCTGTGGACTACAGGCTCCTCTGTCCTTCCCTGTTCCTAGAGTTTGCTGAGATTCATGTCCATTGAGTCAGTGATGCCATCCAACCATCTCATCCTCTGCCACCCTCTTCTTCTTTTGCCTTCAGTCTTTCCCAGCACTGAGGTCTTTTTCAATGAGTCAGCTCTTTGCATCAGCTGGCCAAAGTTTTGGAGCTTCAGCTTCAGCATCAGTCTTTTCAATGGATATTGAGGGTTGATCTCCTTTAGGACTGACTGGTTTAATCTCCTTGCTGTCCAAGGGACTCTCAAGATCTTCTCCAGCTCCACAATTTGACAGCATCAGTTTTTTTTGGCTCTCTTTATGGTCCAGCTCTCACATCCATACGTGACTACTGGATTATATGTATACATATCTACAAATACTTGTTCATGTTATTTTGGTTACCTTGTTAAAATAAAGTAAAGCAAAGAAATAAATATAAGTAAGAAACAACACAACTTTTTATATATTGTGAAAGGAACAACTGTGTTGAAATATCTAGAAATAAAGGTAATATTTTTAAAATATAAGAACATCACTATATTGTAAAGGAAAATGATCCTTCTTTAGCTTTTTAACATTCCTCTCCCCATATTTAGAAGCTCTTTTAAGACAAGATATAAAGTCAGTTCTAAAGCAAAATCACTATGGTTGAGTGTTAGGGGGAAGGTTTTCCAGGAAGGTTCTTTGGTGTTGCGATGTTGCCACGACAGATGCTTAGGGAGTTTCGATTCTGTTCATGGCATCGTGTTGTGTGGTGGGGACAGTGGGATGTCAGATTCACACCTGCTCCTGGAACTGACCACATAGGTGGACAGCAGAAGGGACAGAGTGAATGAGTGAGTGTTGCCATTTCCAGCATCCTGATTTAAGCACGCACAGAGGTTTTGTCATTCTTCTTACATCTTTAATAAACCACGAGGCCCCATTTGTTCACAAAGCCACTTTCAGAATACAGAGGGGCTGTCTTGGCTTCCCCACTGCCGCCTACTTGAGAGACTTACGTCCCTTGAGCAGTTCCCGATTGACATTCTCTTGTGTGTCTAGGGCATTGGCGGCTCTCCAGGAATCACAGGAGCCAAGGGTGATATGGGACTTCCAGGAGTTCCAGGGTTTCAAGGTAAGATGTTAAGGCGATGCTGCTTGAAGACACGTGTCCCTGCCTCTAGAGCCCCAACCCTGGCACTGCCTGCTGATAGATTGGCATGACCAGGACGAGATTCTGTCCTCTTCACATTAAAACGCCCTTTCTGGATGGCAGCCTCATTTGTAGACTCTCATGCTTGAGTGTATAAAGCCATCCTAATTTCCTTCCTAAGAACCAGTGGACCTTGACGAGAAATCATGGGGGATTTGGGCCATTCATTAATTTTTTAAGCAAATATTTATTGGGTGCCTACCAGCTTCCGGGCAATGTGATTTTAACTAAAGAATCAGGTACATGTGAGTGAAAGGTGAATAAAACAAGTTCTCAGCCTGCAGGCATCTTGCGGTCTAACTGGGGACATGTGGGAACCAGATCGTTACCAAAAGCAGAGTCGCGTGCCCCTCCACTGGTTGTGACTGTTTTAGAGTTTGCTACGTGTTTGGAAAAATGTGACTTCTGGGGTTTCAGAAAGGAGAGTTTCATCAAAAGTTTTACGTAGCTGACTACAAGGAGTGCTCTTTTCTTCTAGGAGCGTAAATTGGAAATGTGCTGACTGTGTGTGTGTCTGTGTATGTGTACATGTGTGTGCATGTGTAATATATGCATGTGTGTTTGTAGGCATGTATATGTATATGCAATACACACGAGCGTGTGTTAAATGTTTGTGTATATATGTATATACTGGGTTGGCTAAAAGTTCATTCAGGTTTTAATAAGGTTTTGTAGAATAAACCTGAATGAACCTCTTGGCCAACCCAACACTCGCGTGTGTTCGCACACACGGATATCTTTCAGAATTCTGTGCCAAGACGATATGTTCTACTTTCCTCCAGGTCAGAAAGGCCTCCCCGGCCTGCAGGGAGTTAAAGGTGACCAAGGAGACCAAGGCTTCCCGGGAACTAAAGGTAAGGGGATGCGGTCGCAACGCTCAGGCCACTCCTTGGCGTTGTTGCTGTGTGTGGCTAGTCTAGTGGACGTGTCTACCTGCGATCTGTCCCGAAAGCCAGGTTGGTTCCATCTGTGTGTGAGGTTGATCCAGCACAGAGCAGATGAGAGACTCAAGATTCACAGACTGTCATGGGCTCTGAGGGCAGACGGACATCAGCTGTGAAAACAAGGAGTGAAACCCGGCTGGCATGAGCAGGCTGGACAGCATGGAGCCCTTTATGGAAAAGGGCCTGCCCTGGCTTCTCCATGGGAACGGGGCGCGCCCAGCGGCTCCAGAGATGCGGCTGGTCTGGGAAGGAGATGATCTCCACCCTGCCCTGGCCTCCATGGGCCAGAGCTCATTTCTAGGGCTGCGTTTCGTTTTGAAGACCATGTCTTGATAGAGGGAGTTAGTAACCATAATGCACAGGGATGTGGATGATTAGTGGAAAAAACAGAGAAATGTGTGAGGAGTGAGAGAAGGGACGGGGAGGCTGTGGGAGACCCGGAACGCCTCACGATTGCGCCACGTGTTTCAGGACCCGTTCAGCCAGCGGGAGGGTTACGTTCAGTTCAGTTCAGCTCAGTCGCTCAGTCGTTTCCGACTCTCTGCGACCCCATGGACTGCAGCACACCAGGCCTCCCTGTCGATCACCGAGTCCCGGACTTTGCTCACACTCATGTCCATTGAGTCGGTGATGCCATCCAACCATCTCATCCTCTGTCGTCCCCTTCTCCCCCTGCGATCAATCTTTCCCAGCATCCATGAATAGTATGAAGAGGGTTACGTTCAGTCATCTTTAAAAAATTAAGACCAGTGGCTCTGGTGTACATTCAGGCGGGTTTCAGAAAAAAGATGAGGGCAAACATCCTAATTTCACATGTTGGGGCTCCCCAGGTGGGAGGCAAGGCCCTCAGAGGGTTGAGCTTCATGGCACGGAGGGTCTGTCAGGGCGTCCAGAGAGGAGTGGACAGTTGACACTGGTGACCTGAGTCTCTTCCCGTCCCGAGGATGCAGGATTTTAGGTTAGATGGTGGAGATGAGCAGATCCGTGTCTTGTGGGCGTCTGCTGACTTGTGTGTTTGATCGGGATTCTCCTTTTGAAAGCATTGCTTTTGGCTGGGTTTCATGTCAGATGCCGTTTCTGCCCGAGTGCTGACAGTAAGATTGACCAGTGGCCACCTTGATTCCCACAGGTCTTCCCGGCCCCCCGGGTCCCCCAGGTCCGTTCGACATCATCAAGGGGGAACCAGGGCTCCCTGGGCCCGAGGGCCCCGCGGGTTTGAAAGGGCTTCAGGGACCCCCGGGCCCGAAAGGACAGCAAGGTAAGAATAAGCTGGCTGGGCAATCGGGGGCGTGGGGTCAGGAGGGGGCTGACGTGGGCGAGCTTTCCTCTCTATCCACGTGTCCCGGGTCAGTCTCTGGGTGGTGACTGTGTAAACTCCTATTTGAAGATGACTTTCTTATCTCCCTTTAATGTATATCAAAACCATGTGAAATTTTCGAAGGGGCCTGAAAAGGCCAGAAGGTCTTCCCTGGTGGCTCAGTGGTAAAGAACCTGCCTGCCAACTCAGGAGATGCGAGTTCGATCCCTGGGTTTGGAAGTTCCCCTGGAGGAGGAAATGGCAACCCACTCCAGTATTCTTGCCTGGGAAATCCCGTGGACAGAGGTGCCTGGTGGGCTACAGTCCATGGGATCGCAGAGTCAGGCGTGACTGGGTGACTGTCCACATGTGCACACATGAAGAAAGACCAGAATGAAACACGGGGAAGCTGGGGGAACATACAGCTCAGCATTGCTGTGCTCACTTAGAACAGCGTGGGTGAAGGCGGGGGAGAACCACCTCTCCCGGCCACGAGGTGGGGGGCGGCAGGGCGCAGTGGCCCAGAATCACCACGGGAATTGGTGCTCTCCACAGTGGTCCATAGACTGGCCAGGATCTGTGCAAATCCTTACGATTGCAGACACTGTAACCTAGACGCTTTCTGCTTCTTCGAGCTAAGCAGTCCCCACTTTAAAAGCTATCGAAGAGGGGCGGGAATGGAAAATAAAGAAAAAGGAGAACAGTTAGAGTAGAAAGTGAGCATCACGGAGATTCCAGGTTCAGTGCCCTGAGAAAGCAGCGTACACATGCAAACAGAAGAACCACCCCGTCAATAATCTGAAGCTTGAACGTTATCTGAGTCACCAGAATAAGGCCGAGGGGGAAACACTTGAGAAAATGAAAAAGCACTGAATCTCCCCGAGCCCCCAAGTGCCTGCCTTTCCCCAAACTGCCTGCCAAACAGTGACAACAGAAACAGGGAGAAGCCGGGGAGAACCCCCAGCTCCGTGATGAGCAGACCGCGTGTGGGGGGTCGGTCTGGCTGTGACCCCTGTGGCGTGCGCGTCAACCTATTTGAAGATGACTTTCTTATCTCCCTTTAATGTATATCAAAACCATGTGAAATTTTCGAAGGGGCCTGAAAAGGCCAGAAGGTCTTCCCTGGTGGCTCAGTGGTAAAGAACCTGCCTGCCAACTCAGGAGATGCGAGTTCGATCCCTGGGTTTGGAAGTTCCCCTGGAGGAGGAAATGGCAACCCACTCCAGTATTCTTGCCTGGGAAATCCCGTGGACAGAGGTGCCTGGTGGGCTACAGTCCATGGGATCGCAGAGTCAGGCGTGACTGGGTGACTGTCCACATGTGCACACATGAAGAAAGACCAGAATGAAACACGGGGAAGCTGGGGGAACATACAGCTCAGCATTGCTGTGCTCACTTAGAACAGCGTGGGTGAAGGCGGGGGAGAACCACCTCTCCCGGCCACGAGGTGGGGGGCGGCAGGGCGCAGTGGCCCAGAATCACCATGGGAATTGGTGCTCTCCACAGTGGTCCATAGACTGGCCAGGATCTGTGCAAATCCTTACGATTGCAGACACTGTAACCTAGACGCTTTCTGCTTCTTCGAGCTAAGCAGTCCCCACTTTAAAAGCTATCGAAGAGGGGCGGGAATGGAAAATAAAGAAAAAGGATAACAGTTAGAGTAGAAAGTGAGCATCACGGAGATTCCAGGTTCAGTGCCCTGAGAAAGCAGCGTACACATGCAAACAGAAGAACCACCCCGTCAATAATCTGAAGCTTGAACGTTATCTGAGTCACCAGAATAAGGCCGAGGGGGAAACACTTGAGAAAATGAAAAAGCACTGAATCTCCCCGAGCCCCCAAGTGCCTGCCTTTCCCCAAACTGCCTGCCGAACAGTGACAACAGAAACAGGGAGAAGCCGGGGAGAACCCCCAGCTCCGTGATGAGCAGACCGCGTGTGGGGGGTCGGTCTGGCTGTGACCCCTGTGGCGTGCGCGTCATTCTTCGGGCTTCTGGAGGAAGTTTCCCGCCTGCAGTCCCAGGCCCTGTGCTGGCATCTGCGGAGGCCAGAGAAGACATTTCCAAAGGGAAGGAGGAGGCGCAGCCCGTGGATGGCTCTCCACGAGCAGATCCTGACTCCTCTCTCCTCTCGCTCAGGTGTGACGGGATCCGTGGGCTTACCTGGGCCCCCGGGTGAGCCCGGCTTTGACGGCGCCCCCGGCCAGAAGGGAGAGACCGGGCCCTTCGGCCCTCCCGGTACGTGTACTGCGCCCCCCAGCCGCACTGCCTCCTTGCTGCGTCTTCCGGCTCGAAGCCTCAGGCCCGGGCTGGCAAAAACCTGCAGAAGAATGCGTTTCTGGAAAGACTTCCAAAGGAGTCTGTTTTTTAGGAGAAACAGACTCTTACAGAGGGGCTGAGGGTCGTCATCACTCTTTTCTGGGTCGGGAGACAGATGTTGGTCAAAGCTCGGTGCCTTCCAGAGGTGGACGTGACTGAGAGAAGGCGGGTCGACGGCCCTGTATGTTTTCCTAAGGGTCTGTAATCGCCATTGCCGCAGTGGGGAAGGGGGAGCAGATAATGACGCTGTTGGCCAGAAGGCCGCTGGCTGCTCTGGGTTCAGGTTGAGCTGCTTCCCAAGAGGCAGGAACTCAGAGGTCCCATCACGGCTGAGAAGCCGGAGGCCGAAGGTGCTGCTGAGTACTCGGAGGGCCCAGCCCAGCAGGGCGCCCTGGGACAGACTTGCGGGCCACATGGTTGCCCCCAGAGATGGGAGGACACCCTGCAAGGGAGCTTCCTTCCCGCCCTGTTTCTGCAGGCGGCCTGGGGCCACTGAGGCTGGGAAGCTACCTTCAGAGGGGGTTGTTTTAAAAATTCTGTGATAATCCTTACCCACAGGAGCCCCCAGTGCTGTAAGAATACAGATCACGTCATTTATTCCTGTATCCGTGTTCTCACATTTTCCATTTATCACAGAACTGAGCTCTTTGAGCTTCTCTTTGCCCCAAGCATGGTGCTTGTAACCTGTCCGGAGGTGGGATGCAGAGAGGGGTGACTGAGGCTGCAGGTCGGAGGCGGTGGCTGTGGGTGGCCGTGCCGAGTCTCACCTGCGCGTAACTAAGGAAGCGGCTTCTCTCCCGTCTTGCAGGTCCACGAGGCTTCCCGGGTCCGCCCGGGCCTGACGGGCTGCCGGGATCCATGGGTCCCCCGGGCACCCCATCCGTCGATCACGGCTTCCTTGTGACCCGGCACAGTCAGACGACAGACGACCCCCAGTGTCCTCCTGGGACCAAAATCCTCTACCACGGGTACTCTCTGCTCTACGTGCAAGGCAACGAGCGGGCGCACGGCCAGGACCTGGGTGAGGGCCCTACAGATGTGTGAGGCTGCTCTGTGCTGCGTCTCCAGTGCTGGGTGCTGTTGGGCTGCGTTCCTCTCCCGTCCTGTGGTTCGGGGTGTCGCCAAGACCTAGTGAAGGGGAAGAGCCCTGTTTCCCTCCATCCTTACCAAACGGCCATCCATCCAAAGGCCACCAGATTACTAATGGGGAGCCAGGCAATTGTAAAGGCTGACTCTCTAAAAAAGTTTAACAGAACTTTTGACCTCTTCCTCAAGTGATCAGACAGGATCAAGATTTCTGGAGCAAACACTCTACAGTCTGCATTATTCATCATAGAGCAGAGCAGCTTTACTGTCGCTCTTTCTAAGAAATGTCCACGTTATCCTGTCCAGAATTCCTTTGCATGTGCTAATCTCTGTCCTGTAAGTTTAGATGGACAGAGGATCGCGTGTTTGTCATCGTTTTCTTAGTCCCCTCCGGATCTGCTCCTTCAAATTATATTTTAATGTTGTGCGCCTACCTTTAACTTTCACGGAGGTTGGGAACATGTAGAAAGACGGCTCTGCATTTCATCAGAAACGTTGTTCAGTGAGTTACTCGGCTGTTGTAGAAGGAGCTGCACATTAAATTCCTTCTGGAGTTCAGTCCAGGAAAAGATTTCTCTCTCCTGATGAACCATTTTATTTCCATTCAGCAAAACGTCCTGCAAATTCTTGATAGTCTCCTATTGGCTTTTAATTTAATGCTCGCTTCCAGTCGTACTAGTGTGTTTATTTAGCTGTGTTTATTTCCTCCTTTCTGTAATCTCAAATGTCTCTATTTCCATCTTAACGGAGGTATCGGATGGATGACTGTCTTTAATTTCAAGTGTGTTTGTCTCCACCTCCACGCGCGTGGAGCGTGGATGTGTGTCTGTGCTGGCTGGCTCTGGCGGTCTGCAGCGAGGCGGGCTGTCAGTGGTAAGCCGAGGCGCCCTCCCCACACAGGCACGGCGGGCAGCTGCCTGCGGAAGTTCAGCACCATGCCCTTCCTCTTCTGTAACATCAACAACGTCTGCAACTTCGCCTCCCGCAACGACTACTCCTACTGGCTGTCCACCCCGGAGCCCATGCCCATGTCCATGGCTCCCATCACCGGGGACAGCATCCGGCCCTTCATCAGCAGGTGAGTCCAGCCCGTCGGAGCAGACACACATCAAGGAAGAAAGGCCACCCGTCCTCAGGGCAGAGGTCATTTTTGTGTTTTTCCGTTTTCCCCGCAAACATTCAAATCCTTGCCATTCTGTTTACGGATTGTGATACCTGAGCTTTGCGATAGAAATCAGCCATGCAAAGGATTGGCTGTCAAAGTCAGTTATCCTCTTACAAATTTTAATGCAAGCCCTGGGTGAGATAGAACACGTACCTCGTGTGACTCGCCGGGGTGAGCACCTTCCCCGCCATGAGCAAGCAGTGTCTCTGGAATTCCCACAAACGTGGGAACATCTTCTCTGCTTTCTTCTTTCTTAAATAAATCTCTCTGTGAGGAGTCTTTTAAGATATATATATTTTGGAATCACTCCCCACCCCCATGAAATTTAAAAAAAAAATTTATTTTTGATCATAGTAAAATACACATAACGTGAAATTTACCATCGTGACCGTTTTAAAGTGTGCAGTTCAGTGGCACTTAATGTGGGAACTCAACTTTGGGTGTGAGGGAATCCTCAAGAAATTGTAACACCTCGGACATAGAGTATGTCTGTGCCTTATACATAAGAAGATTATACTGATGTATTATGTGCATTAGAACATGTGTATGTTCTAAGAATTCTCATATTCTCCCCCACTACACCAGTTTTTGCACCCTGAAGGTAATATTGTCCCCACTGAGAATGCATATGTTTGAGTGACTTCCCAAATTAAGTGCCTTCCACACTGATTAATGTCTGGGGTATGTTTTCAAGTCCCCCAGAATCTGCCTGGTAGGAAATAAAATGGGAAACTGGAATTATTATGACCGAAAAGTACACAGTTGTCTTATCTTTGCTTCTTTCCTTCTAATTAAAAAGTTGCTTCCTTAGCTGCACTCAGAAGTAATAGAACAGAGGCAAATGTATGAATTTGTTTCACTGAGAAGCTAGTCTTCTACACGAGCAGATAATGGAGGATAAAAAGAATGACAAGGCGGGACAAGTTTGCCTTAGCAGAGTGAGAAGGAGAAAGAACATAAGCTTTTCTGTGTTTCTTTTAGGGAAATAGCAGCTTCTGAACAGGAGGAAAGATATAACAGTGCTGGCTGAGGGGTGTCTGCAGCCGGAAGTGGGGGCTGGGTGCGTGGTGACCGCCTGGTCCCCAGATGGTCACTGCGGGCTTCGAGGGGGCCAGCCAGTTATAGGGTCTGTGGTTCCATCACATGGAAGGCTGGTCCAGATCAGTCTTCTTAAAAAGAACCTACCCTATGGACCCGGAGCAGAAAGGCTGGGTGATGCCTATGAGAAGAGTCAGGTTTTTGAAGGCCTTACATCCAACCGCTTTCTTTTGAGCCATAAGAAAACTCACCTCCTGGACCTTAAAACGGGAGCTTCCCGAGAGGCCCCTCGCCAAATGCAGAGTCCTTCTGCATGTCGGGGGTGCCTGTGGGCTGTTCTGAGTCGAGATGTTTCTTGCTCAGAACTGTGTCAGGTTCACGAGAACGAGAACTAACCACCTTTGTGTTTCTGTTTAGCTTTCCGTGGACAACAGGTAGATTGTGATTCTCATTTTTGTTTCCTATTTACCGTCTTGGCAAACTTGACACTGACCTTGATTTGGCTGGGACGCGGGGGCTCTGGGATGGGTTAGGACATCCCGGAAACCGGTCCAGGAGTCGACTGGGTCTGGGACTTGCTCTTCCCTGTGGGCCTGTCACCAGTTGTTTAAATGCCCCAGTGCCGCCCGTATCAGGGTGTTCACAGCTCCCTGTTAGCTGACCCACAGGCTCTGGGCCTGAAGAGACCTCAGAAGTCACAGCCTTCACGTCACCGCTCTAAAGCGCATGTATCTGCCTCCCCTCTTGTGATCACGCCACCTGTTCCTCCAGGGCACCCAGCGCCCATGTCACTTTAACCTGGCGGTTTCTGACGACCTCTCAAAACTCACAAGTTCTTTCCAAGGCCTTTCCTTTGGGGACATCCTAAAGCTTAATTGTAGAATTAACAACACAAAATCTTTCCTCTCCAGCAGAAAGAGTAGCAAGTTTTCTGCTGTCATCCTGCCTCAATTTTCCAAGTACTTTCTGACTTTCTGCAGATGTGAGGCATCAAAAACTGTGGATTGTTTAATTGCTCTAGAGGACAGACCACTGGTCTGAGAGCAAGAACTGAGCTCAAATTCTGCCTTATGCACGCACTAGCTGTGGTCTCAGATTCTCATGAATAATACGGAGAATGAGACTGTATGAATTTCAGGGGACGACGCGGCTCGTTAAACCTGCGATTCTCTGTCCCATAACACCCATCTCACGGGGTCGAGACCGCATTTCTGCAGCAGCGTGACTCCGCCAGCGCAGCAGAGGCTGACATGAGTCACCTTCCCCTGTGCTGTGTGTCTGCTCCTGGGCCTGGCGGGCAGATGGCGGCAGATGTGAAAGGCCAATTTCAGTAACTGTTGTTTAATTGAGCCCTTTAATTCATCTGCATTTGTGTGAATAAAATCGAAGTAGCACAACACACACGCAGACTCACACGTCCGGGAAAACCGAGTGACTCATTCAGGCCTGTTCCCACTTCTCATCTATTTTTGTGCAAATGTTCCAGCATAGCTAGGTGTGTTATTAGCATCATTTGTAGTCATCTATCAGCATTGTTAGCCCCGTGTTCATTTGTGACTTGAATGTAGTTACTGCTATTGTTCATTTATTTCTTTAACAAACCGTGATCCCACCATCAGAGGGTCCCTTAGTACAGCAGGAGCCAGTCAGAATATTCTGGGTCCAGCCCCGGGCAGGTCTCCTCACTGGTCTGTTGGCTGTAGGTCTGGATGGTCTCTGGAAGGAGGCACATGTGGACCGCTGGCCCTGGGTTCATTGTTTTTCTCAGTTACTGTAATTCAGCAAATGTTCTTACATTGAAGATGATTCAGGGCTTAAAACAGATCGCCATGTTCCAGAAGCACTGGCCTCTGAACTGCACCGTCTCCTTTTTCTTGAGCATTCCTTGTGTTTGCTGAGGTCAGTGCTCATCGCTGAAACGCTGGAGGATGCTGCAGTATGCAGAGAAGACACAGACGTCTCCTGCGGCCCCAGCTCCCCCAGGAGACGGGCCCTCTTACAACCTGGCTCCGGGTTGCCTTCCCCTTATAGCAGAGCAGGTGGAGAGATGACAAGTCTTGAGTGTGGCTGGGAGTTTAATATTTCAACACCGAGGCAACTCTATCAAAGCAGTGAGAGGCCCTGGGCCTCAGAGTCCAGGCAGGGGCACCTGCTCCGTTTGATAAGATGTCACTGGACCCGCGAGGCTGGGGGCAGGGCTGGAGAGCAGGTGCCGGGGAGGGGTGAGCAGGCGGGGCCCCTTGCACTGACTGAGGGTNACCTGCTCCGTTTGATAAGATGTCACTGGACCCGCGAGGCTGGGGGCAGGGCTGGAGAGCAGGTGCCGGGGAGGGGTGAGCAGGCGGGGCCCCTTCCACCGACTGAGGGTCTTGGCTCTGGTTCCTTGCAGGTGCGCGGTGTGTGAGGCTCCGGCCATGGTGATGGCCGTGCACAGCCAGACCATCCAGATTCCCCAGTGCCCCACCGGCTGGTCCTCGCTCTGGATCGGCTACTCCTTTGTGATGGTGAGTGTTTAGAGCAGCTCCGTGTTTGCCCCAGAGCCACGCCCATCACCTCCCCACCTCTCCTCTCTGGCTCCCGCCCTCACTGCTGGGACGCCCTGCGAAGCGTCCCCAGGGCCCTGGCCACGGGGAGGTGTGGGTGCCCGTGTGTGACCGCAGGAGGCAGAAGGGACGGCTCTGTAGGGGGGGGCACCCCGATCCCCGCTGACTCACGGTCCCCTTTCCCCGCAGCACACCAGCGCCGGGGCTGAAGGCTCTGGCCAGGCCCTCGCCTCCCCCGGCTCGTGTCTGGAGGAGTTCAGAAGCGCCCCCTTCATCGAGTGCCACGGCCGCGGAACTTGCAATTACTACGCCAACGCTTACAGCTTTTGGCTCGCTACGATAGAGCGGAGCGAGATGTTCAAGTAAGTGGCTCAGGCTCCTTCCCCTCGGCGACTTTTCTTTTCAGTCAGCCATGATCCACACCCGTGACCCGTGCAGAGTCCCAGAGATGGTTCTGCAGCAGTCCTCAGGGACAGTCCTCCTTCCATGTGGAAGAATGAGTCTATGAGCCTGTTCTATGCGGGTGAATAACCGAGACCGTTTTCAAAGGTGGAGCTCAGGTGACAGGCTTCATTCCTTCATTGCTGAAGAAGCATGAAAGACGAAAGGTTGTTTTCCAAAGTGAATCCACGGCAGCATCATTAAAACAGCTCAAATCGTTTTAGACGTGATACGTTTGATCAGCAGAGAGAGAGAGAATAGCCTTGGTTTTCACGGTGTCTATAAGGCTGAACTGGACGTATGTGTTGTGAGTCGCCAGTAACTGTTTTTTAGGCCTGCACGGAGGAAAATTAATTTCAGCACAAATCGCAGCCAAAATAGATAGGGAGGGACTTGTCTTTCTTTTCCTCTAACAAAATTTCCCCTTTAAAACGATGGTATCGAGTGGCTGCTGACCTCTAAGTTAGCCTGGAGCGGGGCCCAGTCTCTCCTGGACATAAAGAGGCGTCTATGCTGTTCTTAGTACCTGCTGGAGCTGCTGCGGGATGCCGAGGGGTCTGAACAATTACTTACTGTTCTTTCCCCCAAATAAGGACGTCTCAGCCTTGGAAATAAGCGCTTCTGTCTTTACCTTTTTGGAGAGCATTCTGCAGACCTCTGCTGTGACCCTGCCTCTTTCTAGCTTAGATCATTAGGGTGAAGCAGCATCTTCACTATTTGTAAGTTTCCAAGCATCAGAAAAGAGCCAGGGGCCTTTCTCGTAGCTCACAGGACACTTTCTAGGCCGCTGGGAACTTGTCGTCAACTCTGACTTGACCATTTTAGCACCAGTTCCTGGGGCTGCCCATTATAGGTAAATAGGTAACAATGGGTTTTTTTTTTCCCCCAAACCAGCAGCCTGGTACAATTAATTCAAATGTCTTCTTAAACAAGACTAGGTGAGGTCCCATGCATTTAAATAATTTGGGGGCACTAGGATTTTCACCAACTTTGCTAATATAAACCATCTCAATTTTCGGACAAGGTACTCTCATTATACAGGCTTTCCTGGTGATTCAGACAGTAAAGAATCCGCCTGCAATGTGGGAGAGCTGGGCTCGATCCCTGGGTTGGGAAGATCCCCTGGAGAAGGGAAAGGCTACCCACTCCAGTATCCTGGCCTGGAGAATCCCATGGACTGTACAGTCCATGGGGTTGCAAAGAGTCAGACACGCCCTTCGGATGTGTGTGTGTGAAGTGTCCCAGAGAAGAGTATCTTCTTAGTCTGGGGGTGTTTATAATCGAGTTGAGAGAGCAGAAGTTTGATGCTGGCATTTGAGGAGGTGGTGGAGTGGGGGCGAGGAGGGGTGGGGGTCTGTGGTGGGCAGTGGCTGAGACTTGGGGCTCAGACCGACCTGGGTGGCTCTAGGCATGTTCTCACGCCCTGGGAACGGGATGCAGGTGGTGACTCGCAGGCGTTGCCGGGGCCGCGGGATGTGCCCACAGGCAGGGCGGGGGCGGGTCCCCGGGGGTCTCCGGCGGCTGGGAGGCCCGTGCGGCGACCGGCCTCTGTGCTGCGTTTCAGGAAGCCCACGCCGTCCACGCTGAAGGCCGGGGAGCTGCGCACGCACATCAGCCGCTGCCAAGTATGCATGCGGAGGACATAGCCGAGCCGGCCCGCAGCTGCGTCACAACATGGTGCTACCCCCCCTCCCCCCCCTCCTAACCGCAACGAGCTCTAGAAATATAGCCCGTGTACCTCACTGCCCATACGAACCCGTAAGGTGCCCGACGGGGACCTGCCAGACTAACACCCCTGCTTCGCTGGCCTCTGCTGCTGGAGGGCGGCCACGTCCACCGAGCTGCCTGTGGAGGAGCCCCCGGGGCGTCCCGATGCAATAAAGAGCATGTCTGTCCTGAGTCCGTGCGCTCCTGTGTGACGCGAGACCCACCAGGAACCAAAGGGTGCTAGGGGGGCGGGGCCTTCCATCCCGGGGCGGCCGGGGCCTCCCCGCGTCCCGAGCCGCCCCCTCCCTCCAAAGAAAAGGTCGGTCTCTCTGCTCCGCGTGGTACTGCGCAGGTGCTCTTGCAGAAATCACGGATTTCCTGTGGAATCAAGGTGGTCCCCAAAGTAGGCAGAAAGGAACTATATATATATTTTAGTAATTTATATAGATGTCAGCAATTAGGCAGGTCAAGCTGTAGTTTCATTTCCACTGTTAAAATAAAGCTTTCATAGTTTCTTCCTTTAAAAGCCTGTGTTGTCCTTTAACAGAGATTTTTAAAGCGCTAGGGTATTGAATGTGAAACACCAGTTTTCATTGTTCACCTCGAAACCAAAAGTTGTGTATTGCCAAAGCCAAACCCAGGTTCCCGGACGTGGTGTCTGTTACAGGGAGACATGTCCTTTGAGCTTCTTGTTTTTCTTCTGTATGAAATATCTTCAGGGTTTTAAACACTAATCACAAACTGAATGACTTGACTTCAAAAGCAACAACCTTGAAAGGCCTTCATCTTAAGAGCACCCGCGTTCTGCGGCCTGGTGTGAGAAGCAGCTCTGTCCAAGCAGAATGTCAGAGTCGTCACCTGTAGGCACATTCAGGCGCTTCCTTGGGTTCTCGTGAGCTGTGTTCAGACTTGGATTGCAGGGGAGCAGGATTGGACCACTCTGCCTGAAATGACATTTCACTCCAAGTCTCCAAAACGTTTTTAAGACTACTAAGGCCTTCTGTGTAATTCCTTTAAATGTGTATTTCTTAAAAATTCAAATTTGTAATAAAACTATTTGTATAAAAATTAAGCTTTTATTAATTTGTTGCTAGTTTTGCCACAAAAACCTCAAAGGAAGGCTTACTGCACAAGCCACTAATAAATTTGTAAGCTTTGCATACCTTAGATCATATTTATTTTGTAGTTCTTCCAAATGAGTCAAGGACTGGGTGTCATTTACAGAAATTACTACAAAGGAAAAAAAGTATGGTCTTCTCCTTAATCCCTCCCCCCTTCTCTCCCATCTGTCCATCTAGGCAGCCATCCCCCATCCACCCATCCACATCCACCCATCCTTCCACCCATCCTCCCATCCACCCACCAATCCTTCCATCCACCGACCCATCCATCCACCCATCCTCCCATCCATTCATCCATCCATCCTTCTCTCCATCCACCCATTCACCCTTCCATCACCCACTTCCTCATTCATATACTGTGTGCCTCCTGTTTACCAGATCCCAGGTTAGGTACAGGATAAATGAAAGTGAATAATATGAAGCCCTTAGGAAATTTTCTGTTAAAAAAACTTCACTGTGGAAGGAACCTGTCACTTGTCAAGTGTGTGAATTGAGGTTATAGATCTGGAAACCATAGTCTTACAATAGGTGGGAGTCGCGTTGAGGGTTGGGTTACAATTGAGGATCCTGAGAGTTGCCTTGAAGATGTTTCTGTGAGGGATGAGATGAAGTGAGAAGCGTGCAGTCTGAGCTGTGGGTCCACGTTCATCTCCCATCCAGGCTGCAGGCGAGGCGGGGGCGCTGTCAGCGCACAGACCCTCCTGGGAGGAGTGCGAGGGTCCTTTCCTCACTCTCCACATCTTCCTGTCACTCCTTGTTCTAGGTCCTCCTGAGGATATATCTCTCTGGCCTCCTTTTGACTTGCACGAGCACTTTCCCGAGCTCAAGTCACACGATGCAGACAAAGCGTTTAGTTTGATTAGATCTGAGATGATTGCTCTGCGGTATTAAAAGGTGTTCCCGGGGTCCCTTTTGAGTACATGGGATGTGTGACAGTCAGGCTCCAGTCTTCTCATCCTCGTCAACCTTCCAGACTTAAGGTGTTTTCAGGCAGTGCCGTAGGTAGCGCTTTCTCCTTTCCACCATCTTAGCTGTATCTGTCTGATTCCTCAGTCTCCTTGTTGGTTCATTAGGAGGCAATGACGCACCCTGAGAAGGTGATCCCCAAGCGTTTGTGAAACCTGCTCTTGTTTCTTCAGATGCTCTCCTGAACCCCTGGGAGGGGCTGTGGTATGACCCACATCTCCTGACAAGGTAAGATGCACACACAGGAAATACTGGATCATTAGGGGTGGCAGGACACCCAGTTTGCAATGATCGTCAAGCTCTGTAATCCACTCTTCTGCTTCCAAACCACACCCCACCATCCACCATGCCATCATCCTTCATGCTAGAGATCTGAGACTCTTCCCTTTAGGACATGGAGAGAAATGTTTCACCAGCCTGTTTTTTCTGAAAATGAGTTTTCCTGTCTTGAGAGAGCGTTCTCTTCCTGCGGGCTGCGCAGGCGTCTCCCGGCTCTGAGATGCAGACACGGCCCACTGGTCCAGTGGAGCCTCCGTGTTCGTCAGAATAGGTGTGAAGTGATGCTGAGTCCAGATTACCTGGTTTCCTCTGGGGTCGCCATGGTGCCTCGCCCTCCAGGGTGTCTTTGCCCCTCCACACTCGGCCTGGTGAGACGGGACGGAGCGGGGCGGCCACTCAAGCGGCCCGCCCTGACCCAAAGCCTCTGGGCCACCCGTCTCAAGGCCGAAGTCTCCTTGGTACTCAGGGCATCTCACGTTTGCTTGTAACTGGAGGCTTCCCAGGTGGCGCTAGTGGTAAAGAACCTGCAGGCCAATGCAGGAGACATGAGAGATGGGGGTTCCATCCCTTGATCGGGAAGAGCCCCTGGAGGAGGGCATGGCAGCCCACTCCAGGATTCTTGCCTGGAGAATCCCATGGACAGAGGAGTCAGGCGGGCAACGGTCCATGGGGTCACAAAGGGTGGGACCCGACCGTAGCAACCTTGCATGTAGGGCTTGTTTAAAGCTTAGCATTTGTTCCGCAAGTTGAAAAGGCAGCCTTGGGCCAGGGAAACCATTTCCTAGCCCACTTTGGAGCTGGCGGGGAGCGGGGGAGACCTGGCTCCCTGCGGGGCGACCAGCTCCTGCCGGCGGCGGGGGGGCTCCTCTGGGTCTGGGTCACCCGTGGGCCCGCCAGGCCGCAGGCACGGCAGGGAGGGGGCCGCTTCTGGGCTCTGAATCACTGGCAGCCTCCGCGTGGGGGGTGTTTCCTCTCATTAACGCCCAGGCTGTACTTCCTGAGCTCACGCCCGCACGCGCGCCCTGTCCTCATTTACCCGCCAGAAATAGCTGCGCCTCCTCTGGGGGCTCTGCACCCCACGGCAGCACATCTGCTGCTGCCCACCCCCCGCCCCCTCCCCGGGGGGCCGCGAGCCGAGCTGAGTCACAGTGAAACTGAGTCACTCGGCCGAGATCAGGAAAGGCCTTTTTTAGACTTGCAGCTTTCAGCGGAGTCGGTGACTTCTGAAGTTCAGTTCTGTGTTTTATCATCCCTGTCCTGGATGGTCCCTGCTAGCTTAGAGCAGACGTGTTTCCCACGGTGATTTATTTCTCTGATGCAAATGGGAAAATTCTGCAGAATGTTTTGAAGCAGGCCTTGCTAGCCAATTCAGGCAGATGGTATGTATTTACCAACCAGCTCTCTCACAAATAAAGAATTGTGAGGAGTTTCCGCAGTGCCGGAGAGGCGGAGAGATGGGTCCGATCCCTGGGTCGGGAAGATCCCCTGGAGGAGGAAATGGCCACCCAACCAGCATTCTTGCCTGGAGAATCCCCGTGGATGCAGGAGCCAGCGGTTAGTCCGTGGGGTCACAAAGACTCGGGCATGGCTGAGCACGTCTGCATGGATTTTCACAAGGTGGAGAGAGGCTCCCAGGCAGGTGGCAGAGGGCGCCCTGCCGCTCACAGCCACGCCCCACGGTGCAGGCGTGGCAGTCTTCTGTGATAGCAGCCGGACAGTCCCTGGTGAGACGGCCCGGAGGAAGTCACAGATTCAAGTCCACAACAAAAGGCCCCTGCAGGGGTTGCAAGGCTGCTCAGCAGAGGGCATAATGTGGGCACAGAAACAGCTGGTGGTCTTTTTCCTTACCGGCTGTAACATCCTTACCTGACACGGTGTTAAAGATCAACCCCGCAACCCTAACAGGAAAACGCGCGCGTGCTCAGTCACTTCAGTCCTGTCCGACTCTCTGTGACCCCATGGACTGTAGCCCACCAGGCTCCTCTGTCCATGGGATTCTCCAGGCAAGAATACTGGAGTGGGTTGCCATGGCCTCCTCCGGGGGATCTTCCCGACCCAGAGATCGATCCCGGGGCTCCTGCATCGCAGGCAGATTCCTTACTGCTAGTCGCACCTGGGACGTCCCTTCAGGAGGTCAAGTCCCTGTAGTTACCGGGGGGCCCTCCCCCATGTTTCCTCTGTCATGAGGCTGAGTCCATCCCTGCCCCCGAGAACTCCCTTCCTCCCTGGACTGGACGCTTCACGGGGACCATGCAGGACCTCCACTTCAGTGGGTGCACCTCCTGGTGGCGGGATTGGTCCTGCTCTGCATGGAGGACTCAGGGGGCCCCAGCTGCCCTGCTCCCTGCCCTTCTGACCTTCGCCAGGCGGAGAGGTGACTCAGGGAGCCGCCCGTCAGGGGTGCTGACCACGTGGAGCAGACTGAATCCGGCCGGCTGACCCACGACAGAGCAGAAACTCTCAGGCCCCCCTGGGCCTGTGAGTGTGAGAAGCAGTTCATAGAAACCGCTGAGATTTTTAGAATCCTTTTCTTCTGCAGCATGGACTGACAGACAGAACCTTTGTGCACAGAAAGGGGTCCTTGGCGAGCCTGTTCTGTACAGAGGAGGTCAGGATGGCAAAATGTGGGTTCAGCTCTCCAGGGAGGGGTGTTAGGATGGGGGGCCTGGTGCAGAACTTGGGTGCCGGCTTCAAGTTCAAGTGCTCCCCAGAGAAGGCGAGAAATCCAGGGCAGCGTTTTCTCCTTCAAGCTGCTGAAAATAACAACAACAGCAGCAACATACACACACAGCCCTTGCGTCTTCTTGAGCCTTTCTTTCAGAAAGGGCCCTGGGAGCGCCGCTGTGGCGTCCTGCGGGTGGTGGTGCCTTATCGATGTTAGTCGTCTCTCCCCCCATTGCTCTGCCTTTCAGTCATCCCATCGGATCTCCCGCTTTGAAGTGGGGTCTTAAAAGCAAATTGACAGCATTGTCTGGGGCACTGGCCCGGCTATTGTGAAAGCTGTAAGCGGATGAGCTCGGCTCCTGGACCAGGCAGGGGGCCCGCGCTGATCCCAGGAGCCGGCGGGCGAGGCCGGTCAGACTCCCGTTCTCCACACATTCAGCCTCTGCAGCGGCAACAGCAGGCGTTTTCCTGGATCCCCAGAGGCGGAACCTGCTCCGTGGAAAGGCAGGGAGCAGGATGCCTTCCCAGGTTCCCGGAGATGGACCCCGAGCGACTTCTGTCCGCCGCAGGCTCTCCTTGAGGCCCTGGAGTGGGTGTCACCCCCGGAAGGCCCCCACGCCGCGGCCACCTCTCTGAGCAAACATATACCGCCTGTGTGCACGTGGGTTTCCATCCTTTCAAGCCTGACTCTGAGGCCTGGGGAGCACGCACAGGGTTTGAACTGCAGACACCACGGAAAGAAAGCTGGCAGAGGACTTGTGTTTCGAGACGGTTTCAGTGAGTCTGTTTCTCGGAACTCATGAAGGAAAGCACTGTCTTGGGCAGACAGTCGGGAACGGTTCACGAAGGCCCGGGTGAGGCTTAGCCTGATGACACCAGCAACGAACCTCGTCTTTGATACAAGTTCTGCCCGCAGCAGAGAGCTCCCAGCTTCCACTGTGGGCGCCGGGAGAACCCTTTCCTTCTTTCTCTGCTTCGGCATCCCTCCTGGCTGCCCTGCTCCCGTGTGCTGCCCTTGTGAGACCATCTGCCCGGGGAGGGG